TTTTTTTTTTTTTTTTTCCCGCACCCGATGAGGGGCTCAGCCGCGTCATCGCGTTGTTGCTGTGTACCGTTTACCGCGTTGCTGCCTTGTCACGCCCCCGCTTCTCCACACTTGCCCATTTGCCACTTTCTCCTCAACCACATTGGAGTGAAAAAGCAGCTTCGACTTGAATATCCCCCCCTTAATAGGCACATATAAAATAATTCTCATTTTTGGCGACACGCCGCATATTTTTTTTTTTTTTGGAGACCCCTGTTGGAATGGCTACAAATAGTGAGAAAAAAAAAATTTTTTCCTTTTCCCTCTGCACGCTTGACATGGAATTATGTTACACGCGCGATGGTATGACTTGCTCAGGTGAAGCAACCGACGAGCTCGTCAATCTGGCTGCTGGTCAACCTGGCTGCTGGTCAACCTGGCTGCTGGCCAATGTGACCTCTTACCAACGCGCGTGAAAGTTCTTCCATTGAGGGAGGGAATAAGTCACAAACAACTGTGCAGTGGCAACCTTTCCCCCGATTGGCCAGTCGGGCAAAGCGAACCCAGTAAGTGGTGCCGCTACGTGCCGCTGCCCATGTGAGAGTAGCTTGCGGAGAGGACACCAATCAACACTGCCTCCGACTTGGCGACGTAGAAAGGTGCAACGCGCAAGGTGTCGCTTACGTGTGGCTGCTAACAAGGTTAATTTCGCATTACCGCTTAAAGGGCGTCGTTCCCACCACCCACTTCTCTTCTCTTCTGTTCTGTTCGCGTCGCGTCGCTACTGACCTGTGCGCGACGCGTCGCTTCGCTTCAATTTGATTGGCCGCCAAAATGAACCCGCCGGACGAGAACGCCATAACGCGGAAGATCAACCAGCTGCGGAAGCAGCGGCAAGAAGGTCCGCCACGGAAGGAGCGCAGCTATGAAGACCTGCTTCAAGAAATGGAGAATTGCGTACGAATGCGCAACGGCTACAAAATAAGTTCCATCCTTAAGTTAACACAATTGCCAATAGACATCCTGGTGTTCGACGAAACAACAGAAATTGAGTTAAGGAAAAAAATAAAAAAAAAAAGTGCTTTAAAAAATTATGAACAGTTAATAATTGATCATTATACTATTATGAAAACACTGTGCAATAGGAATAGCATCAATTGGGACAGCCTCCTCAACATGGGATGTAAATTTTTATCTTCCTTTATCCACATGTACAGTGAGAATTTGTGGGTACTGCCATACCTATTAACGATATGCTCATTTTTGAACACCATAAGTACGTTGGCGGACTCGTACCACACCAGTAACAAAAACGACATATACAATGAAGAGAATGAAGACATAAACGAGAAGAATAAATACACAATAGAAGTATTAAATTCCATTCGAGGGAAAATTGGAATTGTTAAAGGGGATATAGAAAAGCATGGAGGGTTCGTAATTCTCATGTTTCAGTCGATAAAGTTATGTATGAAATTAAACAACATGCAAATAACTACAAGTTTTTTGAAGATAATAAATTCAACTGATATAGGCTACGCATACATACCCAAATCTTTTATCGTTCTGTTTAAATACCAGCTAGGGAAATTATATTTACACAAAATGGATTATGAAAAGGCCGAGAAAGAATTCATTTGGGCATTCTCTAACTCCAGGAAGGGTAAGACAGATTTTAAAAAAAAGTTACTGGAAAGTATTATTTCGATTCGCTTGAACAAAGGACTTTATCCTCCGAAGAAATTATTACAAGATTATGAACTCCATATTTATATGGACATTATATATTCTATTAAGCAGGGGAATATATTCCTTTACAATCGTGTCATGGAGAAAAATTCCAAGTACTTTTTTGACAATGGCTTGAATGAATGTATTGATCAGATTCACTTTGTGGTTAAACGTAACCTCTTGAAAATTGCTGTTGACTGGTGGAATGAAACCAGTAAAGATAATCCCACCAAATTGTACAAGGTACCGATTTGTATATTTCATCACATTTTTAACTGGGCCCAAATCACACAACACCATCACCAATTGGAGACCCTCTGCATTATCACTTCACTCATTCTTTTTAAATACATAAATGCGTACATCGCCTACGATAGTAACATCCTCGTGCTCAGCAAAAACGACCCCTTTCCCTCGCTCTCCAAGTCCCGCATGGGGGCCAGGGGCGCCGTGGACAAGGCCTACGCGTGAGGCGTCTTCCGCCTTCATTTGGTCATTTGCCCAATTTTCACCTGCCCATTTGTCACTTGTCCATTTGCCCATTTTTCACCTGTCCATTTGGCCATTTTTTATGTGCCCATTTGTCACTTGTCCATTTTCTATGTGCCATTTTTTATGTGCCGATTTGCCCATGTTGCCCCTCACGAGACGTACATCTTATAACTAATGAGGTGCTCCAAAATCGAGTTCAACGTCTCGTCGCTGAGTCGAATGAGGGACGGGATGAAGTACCTGGCCTCCTGTACTGTCTTGGGCAGCAGGTTCACCAGCATGGCTATCTCGTACTCGTGTAGCTCCCCTATGCGCTCCAGGTTGGTACGCACGTCCACGATGGAGCTCCTGTTCTTTATCGTCGCGAACTTGTTGGCGTAATCGAACGAGGACTTTATCAACCTGCGGCGTGACATGAAGCGGCGTGATAGGAAGCGGTGTGATAGGAAGCGGTGTGATAGGAAGCGGTGTGATATGAAGCGGTGTGATACATGACGCGCAATGAACCACGCTTGGCTCACACATTTACTCGCGCTACACTCTCCTCTTACGTTTGAGCCTCCTCGTTCCGCTTCGACGTTAACCGCAGCTGGTCTCCCAAGATGAGTTGCAACTCACACAAATTCAGGCACTTGCAGTTCTTGAATTCTGCACAGGGATAGGAAATGCCAAATAGGGTGAGGTTAGTGACGGAAGGACGCATGTGCCACAACGTGCGCAGCGTAATGGAAAACACGCAGCGGATCGCCTTGCCCCTAATATACCTGGTCCCAAGTCCAAGTTTTTTACATCCCCGTGATCGTTACCCGCCATTGTGTAAGGATACAAAAAAAAAAAAAAAAAAAGGCAGCAAAAATGAGCCCCAAAAAAAGGAAAATAAAATTCCAAAGGGGGGGGACAGGGGACAAACTGCTCAACTTATCATTGGTTCCCCCCCCAAGGAGGAGGTAAAGGCGAACTGGCGTCGCTTCAAAATTACAACATGGGGGAATGACATCACGCGAGGCTGTTTTTTTCCTTCTCCATAAATTTTTGTCAAACAGGGAAAAAAAAATTAACGTGATAAGGGATGCGGAGGAAATGGCACAACGTGATGGAAGTAACGCAAGGGAAAAAGGCAGTTGATAAATTTTGATTCACTTAAAAAAGGGGTACCCAAGCTAACTAAACCTCCCATGCACTCGCAAAAAAAAAAAAAAATTAAAAATAAAAAAAAAAAAGAGCGCCATGTTCAACGTCCGCCGTTTTATTATGCCCACTCGCATGTAGAAATTTGTTCCTCTTTTTTTGACTTTTCGGAGACTTATAGGTTTTCATGTATGCTTTTTTGCGTAAGGGGGAGCAAAATTTCGCTGCCTCGGAAAAGTCCGTCTCCCCTGTGCAAAAAAGAAAATGAAGCTAAACTAAACGAAAAGAACCGTGTAGAAGAGCAGAACAGCTGAACAGAACAGGACACAGCACAGTGGCGTGCACCTGGTGTCACTTCTTTACCTCTTTATCTTTCCCTTTTCTCCCCCGCACAAATCAACACAATACTCGGTGCGAAGCGAGGAGTATGGCGCAGCTGGAAGGGAACCCCATGCTGTGAAGTCCTCAAGTGTAATGAGAGGATCTGGCCTCGGTCAAACAGGGTGGAGGCACTCCCCCACCTCGCATATGGTACACCCATCCCGGTTTTAATCGAGTAGGTGAGAGCAAGGTGACCGACGTGGGCTCATTATGCATTGCTGTCACTTGTCCAACAGGGTTGTTCCCTCTTCCCTTCTCATTTGCCAAACTTATTTTCACCCTGATTGGCATTTCAACAAGGGGCTTCAAATCGGTCTACCCCCTACCCCCATTTATATGTTCTCCCTGTTTTTGCTGCATCACCTGGAGGGAGAGCACACAGAACAGGACATGACATTGAAGCATATTTGACTTGGTCTGGGAATTACCCCCCCAGGGGGTGGACATAAAACAGCTATGGGGTGGGGGTTAATCGCTCTTTTCAATACATCAGAGCACACCGCCCATGTGAGATGGAAAAAATGGGCTAAAGAGGAGGGTGTCCCAATTGAGAAGGTCAAGTATGAAGGCGCCGCCCGCCCAACTCTCCCAAGCACACACACACACATATATATACACATATACATTACGCATGTATGTAGTACCCCTAATTGCATATCGCTAAGGCACATACCCCACACCTTTCTTCCAATAAACACGCTGCAAAAATGGATGCCTTTTTTTTTTTTTTTTTTTTTTGTGTCCTTATTAAGTTTGCCTCTCCTATAAGTGGAGAGAAGAAGGGCCATTCACTCATTCTTATGCACTTTAGAAAAAAAAAAAAAAATTACCTCTAAACACGCACAAGGCACGCGGGACATACCGTGAAGAGGGACGAGCAGGGAGCAATTCGCCGGAGGGTTCACCAAAAAAGTGAGCGTTCCAAGCGGCACAAACGCGACATGTGCGACAAGCGCGATAGGCGCGGCGAATGACATACCCCCCCCCTGCGCGCGCCTCTTCTCCCACAGGGAACTCTTTCACAAAGGGGTATTCTCCACCTTTCAGTCCAAGGGGGTCAAATCTGCCAAAATAAATTAACGTCCCAAATGGGGGAGCATATTTGAACAGAAAAAAAAAAAAAAAAATACTTGCCCCCATCCCCTCATCGCGGATTCCAAACAAGTGCACAAATTAGCTTTAGCTTGGAGGAGGGAGACATAACTTCCCCCTCACAAAACGCCGTCGAGGCATATATGCACAGGGAGGGCACCCCCGATAAAAGTGATTGATAAAAAAAAAGAAGCAACAGGGGGAAAGGAAAAGTGGCTCCACTTATATACACGAGGATTTCCCTCATTAACGATTTACACGCAGACGTAGAAGCAGTACACACAGAGCAGACAAGGGCTATGTGTACACTCGCTGTGGCAAGTGAGGGGTCTACGGGGGAAGCTCGATAGGCTGCCTCGGAGATGTGATTGGATCCGCTTCCGCGCCACTTCCGCGCCACTTCCCCACCGCTTCTGCACCGCTTCTCCCCCTCCAAGATGGGGTTCATAAAGGCGGAGGAGTTCATAAACCACTACATGCGCGTGAACAGAGAAATCAAGGAGCTGTCGAGCCGCAAAAACGAGGAGTTCAAGTTCAACATATTTATCTTCTACTATAACGACATAGATTCCATTTGCACGGAACACATTTTACACTTTCACAAAAATGTGAAGAGGGACATAAATATATTCAGTTATGGAATTGAGAAGAAGGAAGACTTGATTAATTTCTTCAAAAAGTATGAAGATGTGTACTCGAAGAATCCCGACTACTACCGAGACTACTTCTATGAGGTGATACTCATTGGCATGTGTTCTCATATGAACACAGATGGGGATGTGTATACCCTGGTTGAAAATTTTTTTACAAATATTATGAACAAGAACTATGTAGGGTACTTGAAATTTTTCGTTATTGATAATAGGAGACCCTACCATGAGATATTTGAAACGAGTGACAAGTGGGACTTGGTGCTGAGCGAAGGAGAGATGATGGACGTCATGGCCATATATAATAGTGCTTCTACGGGCAAGGGCAACGCTAGCGGGGTGGAAGCAACAGGTGAGGAAAGTAATGACGCTACCAATGCCAAAGTAGGAAAAGGAAAAAAAAACGCTCAACAGAAGCTGCATAACTACTATAACATTGTTAAGGAAGAAAACAAATGCATGTGCTTAATGATTTACCCATTTATTCAATGCGTGAGTGAAGACGACTCCTCCGCAATAATATTCATCTCGAGCGTATCCCTAATTTCCTATTTGAAAACGGACGCAGTAACATATGATTATTACAACAAGGAGATAAAAAATTTACATAACGATTCAATGAATATATCCAATGGGCACTTTATCTCATTCGATCGTGAGCGAGGACTGCTACCCATGTTGTCCTTCATGTCTTTAAATGAGTCATTAGAGATTGATGAACGCATATACATATATGATCACAAGAATGTTAAGAACACATTTAACAAAATTAGAACCATGTGTCATATTGAAATAAAAGAGTTCACAGGAAACTTCAGGCAATTAGATTTAAAAAAACAAAATGAAATCCTCATTAAGCTAAAGGCTTTTATAAAAATCATCAAACCAATGAATAGTCTCGCATGGAAACGAAGAACATACGTTCTCTACAACAGTGACAGTTTTTATTTCTTGGTTGTGCTTATCTACATCTACATTAACAGAATCAAAAAAATGGATTCATACTTGTATAATTGCCTCAAGACATCTGATTTTCTCTTCAATATTTTTAAAGACAGACTGAAGCAGTCAGAAATATACGACAAGCTTATTGAGAAACATTTACACAAAAACGCAGCTAGCTATTTAAGTGTTCTAATTAAAAAAATAATGGAGAGTAATAAAAAAAGTATTAACATTACATCTAAATTAAAAATTTTTTTGGACATTTTTCAGACAGCTAAAAATTCTTACACTCATCCATTTGAGTTGAAATTTCTTTCAAATATGTTTTCCTCATTTCAATCCTACTGCAATGATAAGTACAAGACGTACCACCTGGTTGTTTGTCACATTAATGATTCAGATGATACTCTTCTGTATGGGTTTACTCCTCTGAACAAAAGGGATTACTGGCCTTCCGTTTTTTGTAAAATGGCCTACAACAACTCGGAGCAAATTACCTATGACACCGTGGCGGACGTGAACACTCTGCGCATTCGCAAAAATGATTTTAAGTTCATCCTCAGCGAGATAAAGGACGTCTTCCGGAGTGTCCTGCGCTACCAGCACAGGCAGGACCTCGACGCGTCCGACAGCACCGACGCGGAGGAGGAAGAGGAGGAGATGGAGATGGAGATAGACGAAGAGGTGGACGAAAATGCGATGGAAGAAGAAGAGGAAGCAGTGGAGGACAATGCGGTGGAGGAAGAGGACGAGGCGATGGAAGAGGTGTTCGGTGCAGACGAAACGGAGCAGGGATGAGAGTACTTCCCTTCCAAACAGAGAATGCACTTTTCCCCTTTGCACGACTACCGCTTTCCCTCCCGATGCGCTGTGTTTTTTTTTTTTTTTTTTTTTTTTTTTTTTGTAATCCTCGAGTACAACTTCATTCGAGCCGCCCCTAAACTAGTGTGCATTTATTTTGCCACCGCCACCACGACCAGCTCGTCTTTTTTTGTTCCCACACGACGGGGTGATGGTGGTGGTGGCAAAATAAATGCACACGCGTGTGACTTCATCCGTGTCTCACAACTACTTCACAATGAATGGCGAAGCGGACTTAGGTCTGCCTGGTTGTCCATTTATCACTGCCTCCACTTTTTTCCTTTCCCAATTGCTTGCCCCAAATATAAGGGTCATACAGAGCGCTTCACCAGGTACGGTGATTAATTGGGGGGGACACCAAAATCACTGATCAAAAGTTGTTAAAGGCACGTTTGCTGTGTAGCATTTCTATGGGGACTCTCTCTCCCCCAAACAAGTCATCGTACGACTGTGTCATCGCAGCCTCCGTCTATCCTCCTCCTCTCCCTTATCCTTTACACCCACTCAGTTTTTAATAAAAATTTCATTCCGCTTCAAACTTACGCCGTACTTCCAATTTACCTTAAAGTGGAGAACACGCTCCAATTCATCACAATGAGTAAAAATTGAAGCAGCTGATTGTCAAACGGGCATTCCCCTTTTTTTTTTACGCACCAAAAAAGATGTACAAAGGAGCGTACGGGCAAAAAAAAATTAAAAAAATAAAACAAAACACACGGAGCACACGCGAAAAAAAAAAAAGCACTCGTGTGAGATTAGGGAAGCGCCTCCTTTTTTTTTTTCAAGCTCTCATTCACGGGCATAAAACGAATTGAACGAAATGGTAAATGGCTGAACAGGTTAAACCCGTGGCAACAATTTCTCTAAGTGAAAAATATGCGCAAAAAAATGAACGAAAACGACGCCATGACAACTGTTTTAAAAGTGAAACAAAAAAATAAAGCAGTGTAATAAACAACAGTGGGAGCCTCGTCCGCTGATCGATCCATTTGTTCAATAATGACACGTCGTCAATCGAACAATTCACCAAGACGATTCCTTTGCACATGAGGTGGTGGATGAAGGTGAAACTTAAATCAACTTCTATACAAATGCGCAATACGACAACACACAACGCTTGCTATGCCGCATCATTTAAGGAGGCCCTTTATTGTTTATACATACGGCCAACATATACACATCCCTTCCGTTCGATCCCACCCCCTGCTGTGGTATGAGTGACGTAACCTCAGCAAATCACGCATTAGGAGAAAAAAGACTCCCCTCTTTCATGTTATCACACGACGCACAAACACAGCCTTCTCCCTAAATGAATGAAATCCTCAACAGCAATGGAATTATCATTTGTAAAAATATCCCCATTGGTAAAAACAGATTTGAAATAACCGAAATATTTAGCAAATGTAAGGGAAAAGAGAGTGCGCCCATGGGGGAGAATATGGACAACTTTGTTGCCAATAGGGACAGACAGCATGATGTATACCTTTTCCTTTCCTCCCCTTTTTGCTGTTCATATGTTTTCCCCTCTTCGTTTATGTTATAATATTTTTTTTTTTTTTCTTCCCCCTTTGCACACGCGTCGCCAGATGGACCGCTACTCGGGGAAGGCATCCACTTTGGAAAAAAAAACAGCAACATGTTTTACGTAAAATATGTTTACTTCAAGGATGCTATAAAGGCGTACGAGGTTAGTCCCCATCGATGGGGAATGTGCATTGGGCTGGTGTGTGTGTGGGGGGAGGCTTCTCCGCACATGATCGTGAAACAGTTTGACGAGGTGCACACAGTTGGCCACCTTAGCCCATTTACAATACACATTACGTTCGCTGCTTCCCCTTCACCAGAGCCTGAAGGACAACAAGACGGGTGAGTACGACTTCAGGGTATCGTTCAGCAAAAACGACGAGATAAAATATAGGGCGGTGAAAGGTAATTAGGGCGCGGGGAGAGTTTGGGGATTCCCTCTTCGGAGCATTCTGCGTGCCCATATGTGCATGCAGGTGTACACATGCTTCCCTGTGCACCCTGGCCGCGTAGGCAGCAAGAGGGCCGTGGAGGAACTCAAGTACATTTACAAAAACAACGAGCAAATAAAAATAAACGATGACATGACCAACGACATCCTGAACGAAATAAACGAACAGAATACGGAGTTGCTGAAAAAGAAGAAGAAGGAAAAGGAAATGGAAAAGAAAAAGGACAAGTCCTTTATTTTGAATCTCCTCACCAAAATTGACGAGCCTCAGGAAAGCGAGCAAAATATCAGGTGAGGGAGAAGCAACTCCTCATTAAGTTTCACGTGCGGTTTAGCTTCGCGTCAGGGAAGATTATTACCCACTTGGCTCCAATGTTAAAGTCTATACATGCACATATATATATACCTCCGATTGCTCTCCTTTCACAGAGGTACTTTCCTCATCGTTGTCTTCCTCCCCCCCCCTCCCCTCTCTGTGTGCAGGCTAAAGGCAGATCTGAAAAATTACCTCAGCTTGAATTGCCTATGTGCATACAATTTTGATGAAAACAATAAACATGACAATTATTTGACCCCGACTTTTCCGAAGTAATTTCCCGAAATGAATGCGATGGGATATTTTTTTTTTTTTTTTTAAGTAAACGGAGTTTGACGCGTAGAGGTTTTTTTTTTCTTCGCGTGGGTATATTTCTTTGACCAGATTTTGTAAGCACACGTTGGTTGACACATGAATCATGTCAAGTTACTAAAAAAAAAATGGGGAAGCCACGACAGAGCAGCAAAAAAGGCGTAAGACGTAACGCGTAACGCGTAAAGGGGGCAAGCCCGCTAGAAATTGCCAGGTGGATGCATCAAAGGACACTCCCCCCTGCTGTGCCCCATCGCGCAGGTGCACATTTTCGCTAACAAATCTTCCACTTCACTCGCTGAGCAAAACTGTGGGTCTGATCATTTGTCTGCTGATATGCTCTGAGAAGGGGCGCAAAATAGGGGAAAAAAAAAAAACACACAGAGTGTGTGGTGACGCTTCAAAGGGATATATGTAAAAAAAAAAAAAAATGTAAAAGGTGCCGCTTCGCTTACTTATCCACTTGTGCTTCTCCTCCCTGTCCACAGTCACAAACATAATTTTCCTGTTATTGTAACTTATGCTAAACAGGTGCACGTTGGTCAGGCCCAACTCATTTTCCACGAGCTTTATTTTCCGCAGATCTTCCAGGGAGGTCAGCTCGGTGAAATTATTTAGGTACAAGATCTGCAAAGGGGGTATAAGAAAGATGCTATACATGATGGGGCGTCAAAAAAGGACGTCCCCTACGGAGAGCCACACTTATACAAAAAAAACCATACACAGGCACAGCCACGTCTTCCCAACGGATAGCACATTTGTGTCGTCATTTCGGCAAGTGAGTAAAACGAGGGAACTGCATATTACCCACGGACGTAATGAATAGTGTGACCTCTTGGGACACATCACACACACACGCAGTGTGTATGAGGCGCGTATGAGGAGCGTATGCGGGGCTACCCTCCTCAAACCACCCCTACCTCGGTGGGCTTCTCCGCCTGGTAATACTGCGACTTAAAGGAGCAGATAAAATTCTTCGTCAGTATCATGTACCTCTTTCGCAACCGCTTCAAATATTTGGACTGCTTAAAAACCCACCCTTCGTTTACTACTTCCATTTCAACGGGTGTGGGGAACTCACAGTAAGGGGGGGAGCGAATTACGCTACTGCGTGAAGAGGAGCACGGAACAAGCGCAAAATGAGGTTAATGGCTCTCAAAAATGCGCACACGCAAAAGGGGGGAAAACCAATTAGGCTTACAGTTGTCCTCCACTTATAATGTCAAAAGAATAAATAATAATAAATTAGCGGAGCGAACGACAAAAAACGTTAGGCGCCCCAAGGCGGTCACCAACTTTGGGGAGACACAGCGAACGAGGGAAATACTACCCACGAGAAAAAGAAATACAATATTTTTCCTCCCCTGGGTAAGCGGAAAATAGCACACAATGAGCAACAGGCTGTCACCGATTGGTGTTCTGGCTCCTTTAAAAAGGCATTTCAAAAATTTTCCATCACAAAGAGGTAGGAAAAATGGTGTGAATATGACAAAATGACAAAAAAAAAAAATGAACCAACTTTATTCATCACCAAATGTCAACTTAGGAATGTTCTTATATATTACCCTTTTCTTTTCCCATTTTAATCGAGAAGAAAAAAAAAAATAAAATAAATATGACCTCTTCATCCTTTGTACAAACTGCTAAATAAGAATTACACCCTTGGTCGAAGTGTGTACGGTATGCCTCCTAAATGAGGAGGGATTGGTTCAGTTATTCTTGTTCACATATATATGTGCAACAAATCGGGATTGGTGGCACTGCAGGCTCGTGAGAAAGGAAATGCGGATTTTACCTAATGGTGATGTGTTCCTTATTTTTTTTTTTACCTGACTTGTTCAGGCGATTTACACAGGAGAAAGGGGAAAAAGTAAACTGTGCGGAATGATCGGTTGAGTTCGTTGTTAACGTTTACATTTTCGTGGCTTATTCGATCTTTTTTTTATTATTTATTTATTTTTCTCCCATTCGGTTCGCCACTTTACTTTAAGGTAATTGGGGCCCTGAATGGATGCGCACATACAATCATATGGATATACGATTATAGCTGCCTTAGTGCACAGGTAGCCATATGCATGCGCGCGAACGCTCGGCGCAATTTGTGTGCTTATGTGCCGAACGTGCAAATGCGCCTTTACTACTTTTATGTGCACTTGTACACGCGTACGGTAGCACTGTTTTTGACGCCCCCTCCCCCCACTCCATTCTGATTTTAACTCCAACTCAAAAGAATATGCTTGCGTAAAGTTATATTTTTTCACATATGTTTGAAATCATCTTTGCCATCGTCAATATTTCTCCGCATTAGTACTCCCGATCACTTCGAAGCTGAAGCGAAGAAATGGCTCAGCGCAGCGCCAACTGGTAAAGCGCGGATATGCCTGTTGAGCGCGAGCCGAACTGGAAAAGCACCATTTAAAAAAAAGAAGAGAAAAAAAAGAGAAGATAATACAGAATAAAAAGAGAAGGGAAAAAAAGGGGCATAAAAGAAAACCTCCTGAGCGACTGTTCACACAGGGGGCCAACCGATCAGTGCGACGCAGCGCATGTAAATTACTTCCCCTGCTTATTTGTTTCGAAACAGCCAATTTTACATTCCCCCTTTTAAGGCAACATTTTTAAACGCGTGCCGGGGGAGTCAAGCCTGGGCATACTTGCGTACATGCGGAACTACGTATCCCTCCAGAGGAGCGCATACGCGTAAAGGACTCCTTCTACCCCCCTTCACCCTCTGCGGGTACACCCACCATTGTTACAAAAGTCACAGAGAAACGGCTGGACCCGATTCGCCACAAACGTGATTACGCCTAAAGTGCACACTGCCTCACTCTAAACAAACTCTCAGTTGATGTGTGAATGGATATGCAAGCATAGCTGACATTCGGCATTTTTTTTTTTTTTTTGTTTTCGTCTGCGTGAACAGACGTGTACCCTTACACGTGGAGATAATTTTTGTCCCCCGTTTTTTTTTTTTTCCCACTCGCTTGCTTATCGAACAAAAGGACGAACTATGACGGCTGAGGACAAGAAGGTAGACAACTCATGCGAAGGTTTTGTGGCGGCGCGACGGAGAAGGTTTTAACAATGTTGATAAGTGTTCGAGGAGGGAGCCGCTTGCCCATTTTACACTTCATAACGTTACACTTCTTCACATCGTTACACTTCTTCACATCGTTACACTTCTTCACATCGTTACACTTCATATTTTTACCCCACCCCATCGCGCAGGCCGTGTCCATCAAGGTGCCCGTGAAACCCAAGGAAGCAGAGGAGAAAAGGAGAAAGCTCAACAGCCTCAAAATTAAGAATGAAGAATTGAATGAAGAGGAGAAGAAGAAAAAGGAAGAGTTGGAGCTGCTCATCACCAGGCTTCGAGATGAAGATCCGGATGTGGTCAACCTGTCCATCACAATGTTGAACAAGGAAATAATTGACACTAGTGGAATATTGACTTCGTCCCTTTTAGCCCTGAAGGTACTAAAGACCCATTACAATACACTACTCGAAATACATGAACATATGAAATTTGAAGAATGCAAAAAGAAAATGAGTAACATGATAAGTGCCTTGTCCACCACGATAGGGGATGAAAACAACATCGTCAAATATATTATCATGGGGAATAAAAACGATTTAGTAAATTATGGTCATGAGTACATAAAGAATTTAATTAGTAAGCTGTTGGTAGAGTACAAAAATGTAAAAGAGGAGGAATCGTCTCTTTCCGGGTCGGTGGTTACTCCAGGTGGAGCAGGAGGAGCACCGTCGTCCTCTTCCCCTGTGTCTGTTTCCCCCACTGTGGCAGGTAGTAGTAGTAGTGTTGCCCCATCGGGAGCAGCTGGAAGCACACCAAAAGGAGTACACATGATAAACCACATTTACGAACTCGTGAACATCATCGTTCCGTACTGTTTCAATCACAACACAGAATACGAAGCGATTGATTTGTTGATTGAGGTCGACAAAATTAATGACATTCATTTGTATGTGGATGAAAAATCTTGTGAAAGGTCCATCCTCTACCTTCTCAACATAACTCATTACAGTTCTTCTACGGAAGAGTACTACAAACTGATGGATGTGATTTTACACATTTTGAAAAAGCACAAGAGACACGTAGAGTATTTGAAAATTTTACTCAGACTAAACAGGACAGAGAAGATCAAGGATCTCCTTTTTGAATGTGGAGATATGATTACATGTAAGCAAATGGCTTTAATTTGTTCTAGACATTCAATTCATTTGGAGTTCACCCAGGAAGAAATGCTTCAATACCCTCACCTGGACTTGAACCAGCTAGCTAGTCTTTCTTCAGGGGAACATTTATCTTCTATATTTTTGAAACTAGCGAAAGATTTAGATGTAGAAGAACCCAAATTACCAGAAGATGTGTACAAGACATATCTGGAAGAAAAGAGAAATACAAATGTATGGGATTCTGCAAAACAAAATTTATCGTCCTCTTTTGTAAATGCATTTGTCAATGCAGCCTTTTGTAAAGATAAACTAATGACGGTGAATTCGTCTCTGTGGATTTTCAAAAATAAGGATTATGGGTTGATGAGTGCAACTGCATCTATGGGGTTACTGCTCATGTGGAACATAGATGAAGGGTTGTCTCAAATTGACAAATTTCAATACAGTAGTGATCAGTATGTGAAAGCAGGTTCGTTGATGGCCTTCGGGTTAGCTTGTACGAATGTAAAAAGCGAATGTGATCCTGCGTTTGCATTGTTATCTGAACACATAGATGCAGAAAATACCATGGAAAGAATAGGAGCCATATTAGGCTTTGGTTATGCATATGCTGGTTCAGGGAAGGAAAACCTATTAGATGTACTCATGCCACCTCTTGTGGATAATGGATGCATCATCGAGTGTAGTGTATTTGCAGCCGTGTCATTAGGACTTGTCTTTGTGGGTTCACAAAATCGGGAAATTGCAGAATACATTATTGACACTGTTATGGAGAGAGAAAAGGTAAACAACTCTCTCGATCAACCCATAGCAAAATTATATGCAGTTGCTTTAGGTCTTTTGTTCCTTTGTTCAAGAGAAAAATGTGAAGCTACTCTGTCTGCTTTAGAAATCATCAAGCACCCAATTGCGAAATACATGATAATGACTGTAGAAGGTATGGCCTTTGCTGGCTCCAACGATGTGTTGAAGGTTCAAAAAATGTTACAAGTTTTGGTAGAGAAGAGAAACGACAAAAAGGTTAATGTGGATGTGTTTGCAAAGCCAAGTGATCAACAACCCCCTCATGGAGGTAGTAATACTGTTGATGGGAAGGCTCCCCAGGGTGCTGAAGGGAAAGGCCCTGTTTTGGATGGCAAGAGAACCAACCCCACCATAGGTGGTAGTAAAAGCGCCAAGGGTGGTTCAGGTGACGGGAAAGGTAATGCCAATGTAGGTAGTGGCGCAGGAGGAAATAACCACCCCACACAGGTGGAAGACAATTTAGACCAGTGCGTAGCTATACTGAACATTGCCCTTATAGCCTTGACGGACGATATAAGTTCTGAAATGACGACCAGAATTATCGACCATTTTTTACAGTACTCAAATTTGAACCAAAAAAAAGCAGTCCCCTTAGCCCTGGCCTTACTCTTCACATCCTTCCCGAAGCCGAACATTGTAGATATTCTTTCCAAGTTGACTCATGACCAGGATGCAGATGTAGCTTTGCATGCGATCATGTCGTTGGGTTTTGTTGGTGCCGGAACGAACAACTCACGTATAGCTATATTACTGAGACAGCTCTCAACCTTTTATTGCAAGGATGCTAATGCGACCTTCGTTGTTAGACTATCTCAAGGGCTTCTGTATATGGGGAAAGGGCTACTAACTATTAACCCTCTGCATTCGAACCGATCCATCATCAACCACGTAGCGCTGGGTTCTCTCCTCGTCACCATCCATGCGTGTCTCCAACTGAAGACTACCATATTGGGAAAGTACCATTACTTGCTCTACCACCTTGTGCCGTGTATTTACCCACGTATGCTCGTCACCGTGACCGAGGACTTGGAGCCTCTGCCCATCTCGGTGCGCGTAGGCCAGGTTAGTGTCCCGCGATTGCGCCCTATTTTTTGCTTCCACTGTACATATGATCACCTCACCCATTTGTCCGCCCTGCCATTGCACCCTTTTTTTTGCATCCCCTCTACATATGATAATTCTTGTCTCCCCCCCCCGTGCAGGCCGTCGACGTCGTTGGGCAAGCCGGAAAGCCCAAAACAATCACGGGGTTCCAGACCCACGTGACGCCCGTCCTACTCCTGCACACGGACCGAGCGGAGATAGCCACGGAGGAGTGTAAGTGGACTAGTTCTATGTGATGCTGACTTTACCCTTGGCCTTTACAATTGCCTATGTCACTTCCTACACCGTTGCTCGTCACTTTACCGCTACCCCCCCCCCGCAGACATCCCCATCAACGACACTCTCGAAGGAATCGTCATTCTGAAGAAGGACCCCAACTACGTGCCGCCAGCGATCAACTGACCGGGCAAAAAAAAAAAAACATGATAGTCGACCCTTCACGTTAAGGCGGCCCCTCTAGCATGTTCGTCTATATCCTTTGCATTTTTTGCACTGTTCAACATTTCCAATTTTTTTTTTTTTTTTTTTCGCGTGCACATGAACATGCTCATGCACATGAACGATAAGAATGACAGCACCGCAAAGGGTATCGGTTTCGATAATGACAGTAGTCACGACAGTAGTCAAGACAACACGCACGCGCTACCGTGTGACTGAATGGACAAAAAAAAAAAAAAAACATACCAAAAAAAGAAAAGGGAAACGAAAAAAAAAAAGGCGTAACAGGGTGAAGAGCGTGCAGAGTTGACAAAAAGGGGAAACCTGCTAAGGGAAGCCCCCAAACGGGGTTTGGTCTCGCACCACGGTGTGCATATTTGTACTCATTTCCGCATGCTCCCTTGGGAGCCCCTTTTTCGGGAGCGTCCGCGTCCCTTTATGTGGTCCAGTGCTGTCGTCATGCGCTTGGAACGAATGACCCCCGCAGGGTTCAAGTCAATGAGGGAGGTGATAGGGATATCTCTGCTGGGTGTGGAACTGGCTCCAGTACTTCCCCCCCCACTGCCCCTGCTACTTCTAGCTCCTTTGCCTCTTTTCCCCTTCTGGTTGTCCCGAATAATGTCTATCAGGTTGTCGACGGTCTTTCTCTTCCTTTCAATGATAGGAAAAAATTGGTCTAACTTGAGTTGGTAACTTCTGACCTTAACATCGTACTTCTGCACAATAGGGTTCAGGACTTTATATATTTTGTCCTCGGCAATGTTGGTCTCTTGGTGTAAAAACCTGCTAATGTGACTCAGGTTTGGAAAATGCCACTGAAATTTTTCTATGTCTGTACAGACCTTAGGGTACTTGAAGCACTTGTACACTTCCCGGTCAGGAAAATTTTTGGGGAAGATCCAATTAAACTTATAATTTTTATGAGTTTTTAAAAAACGCTGGACTTCCTCGTTGTGGAAATATTTGTCATCCTTGCTGAGGTCTCTAAAAGGGTTCGATACGATCTCCTTTAATTTTTTCAAATCCTCAAATGTGGGGAAAGCTTTAATAATTTCCAAGGCGTTTACTATTCCTACTCCGTGGACTCCAATGGTATAATCACATCCACACAGCAACGACAAGTTTATTAACTCGTCTTGGTACAAACCCAATTTATCTTCTATGAGTTTTCTTTCATATACCTCTACAGTTTTTTTTCGGTTGAAAAAATTTTTAATGACCGTTTTTCCATTGAATACAAGGACATCGGAGTCGTCACTTATGATCGCGTCACAATAATTTTTACAATTCAGGTAGGAACATTGCGCCTCCGCTTCACACGGGGATTGCACATAAGGAATTCCAAACATGTTTAACAAAATTTTAATGTCTTCATTCATTTCTTCATTTATTTCAATGTTGTTTTTTTTTAATTTCTTGTACTCCTTCACCAGCTGCTCGTTTTCTTTATTCGTTTGGTCCAGGTAGGCGTCCAGCGTGCGGCTATCCCGCAGCTGCTCTCTATCATCAGAGGGGCCTTTTCCATCGGCAAATTCGTCGACCAGGATTCCTCCATCGTGGGCTTCACAGCCTACCTCCCCGTCCAGCCCTTCTGCTGCCACCCCGCCCACGCCAAACCCGTCCAACAACACCTTATTGCTCAGCAGGTTCTCCAAGTAACTTTCCTTCCCGACCGTATCTAGGTCCACCTTGTTCAGGAGAATATTATTTATTTTTTCTTTGCTAATAAACCTCCTTACCTTGTCCTTCATCTTTTTTAGCGCCTCGGAGACTTTCTGTTCATCCCCACTGATGGGCTGAGCAGCGTTCGAGTTCTCCATTTCAGCTGCCAACTCGATAGAGGTAGAAAAGGGCATCTCTGAGGACAGGTCTCCATAGGCAGAGGATTCCCCATGAGGAGGACCTTCCCCTTCCACTAAATCATCCTCACTCGAAGAATTATCTGCTAAACTGTGTAGCTTATCATGTAGGGGAGGGGACTCAACCTGTGCGCTTTCTTCCCCACCGATGAGTGGATCCTTGTATGCCTCACACTTTTCTTCCTCATTAATTTTGATTGACACCTGGCTCTGTTCCTCATTACTGCTTAGTTCAATAACGGTCTGTGCGATCTGCACCCCCTTGTTGTGTGTGATTTGCCCTTCCACGTCTTTTTCTCTTTCCCCCTTCTCATCAACACTGCAACTTTCGAAGTCATCTTCACTGCTGTGAAGGCTTGGGACAGAGACCCTATTTTCGTGCATATCAGTCTGTCTCAACAGGGTAATCCCGTCCTCTGCATCTGCTTCTTCCTCCCCAGCTTTTGTTTTCCCCTTGGGGGTGGTGGTTAACTGGGGGGGATGCTCCTCCTTTACGTCCCCGTCCGCGCGCAGGAGATCTTCCCCGAAAATGTCCTCATCGTCCAGCAGCAGGTCCTCCTTAAATTCCTGCTCCATTTTGATGAGGGCCTGTTTTTCGTGCTCCGGTTCGTTATCCTCCCCATGCTTCTCCCGTTTAGGCCTACTTACATCCCTTCTGGCCAGTTCTACTTGCCCATAGGCCTCTATGGAAGTGCGCTGATCGCGGGGTACGCTTCCTTCTTCCTCCCCCTGTGAGAGCCTGTCTCCCACAAACTTGGCATTCATCACAACTCCCTTCTCGTCGTCTTCCTCCCCTTTAATGTACAGCTCCTGGTACTGGTCATTTTCCCCCTCAAAATAGCACTGGTTGAGAATTTCATTCATGTATTTTTTTTTTTTTTTTTTTTTTTTTTTATTCACAATCCTGAATATGTGTAGGATATGTTTTTACTAATTGTTTTATTAACTGTTGTTTTATTAACGAAAGACTGGCATGCCACGAGTATTATTTTTTTTTTTTTTTTTTTTTTTTCTTATTCACATCGTTGTAATCCCTGATGCTGAGGCTGTCGAACTGTTTGGACAATTCGTTATTAATAATAAGTTCTCCCTCCTCGCTTTGTATATTTTCTGCCATTTTTATTTTGAGTTTCTCAATTTCAAAGTCCGTTTTAATCATCCTCACGTATGTCTCCAACTGCACCTGCGAAAATACATCCATGTCGTCTTTAGCCTTTATGGCCTTTACCCTGTTGTCCACATACCACTCCTCCTTTATGTCTTGCAGAATTTGGTACTGTAATTTGATGGGTAGTTTTTCAAACACGTCCTTGTTTAATTCCTTGAACAGGGGAATTTTTATTTCCTCATTATTTACGTAGTACACTTTGTATTCGTCTTTCCCTTCGCGGAACAGTTCATCCCGGTTAAGGGTGGAAGGCAACTCAAGAACGTTGATCTCTTCCTTTTCTTCGACCATGTCTCCATCGCCGGGGAGAATATATGCATTGTCTGGTGTTCCCTTCTTCTCCACGCTATCCTGCTCGCTATGTCCGATATGTAGCGGCGTGTCTGCCTCCCCCTCGTTGTGGCGGCTATCCCCCTCTGTGTGGTCCTTCACGGTTATGCCCCGTTCGACCGCTTCATCTAGACCAACCGCCTGGATCCCCCTGGACGGGGACTGGGTCTCCCCCAACTTGCGCGTGAACTCCAAAATGTCCGTACTGTAGTTGTTTATGTCAATAATGTCGACCGGTCGACGCATGCACAAGAATCCCTTGAAGTTTTTTGGAATGCTCTCATAGTACTTTTTCCTGGCCATGTGTTTCTTCCTCACAATTTCTTCGTCAATTTCATTATCGATGTGATTTGGGGGTTCATTTGGTTCTGAGACTTCTCCTGCCAGGATGGCCGCATATTTATTTTCGTGGTTGATCCTTCCCCCCTCTACAGAACTGTACACCCCGTTGTTCCTATCACCAATCTCCTTTAGACCGCTTACCAGCTCCATCGCGTTCATTTCTCCACTCACGTGCGCAGTAACCCCCCCAGCTTGCACTTCCAAATCGCTAATCATAAGAACCTTGTTCTGTATCTTCTTCAAATCTTCATCATTACATATGTTCAAAACGTCCTTGACACTAACAGGCACGTTTCCTATATGCTCTACCATGCTGCCAAGTGAGGCATCATTTTCTTTAATGCTACCATATAGTTCGATCAGCTTAGAAGTGTGTTTCGGTGAAGTAAGAATGGGAGGTGCAGAGTAAGGAGGTTTTCCTTCCACTATGGGGTGTAATCCAACAGATGTGGATGACGGTCCTTGCGAGATAACCTCTTCTTCATTTTGATTCTTCTTTTTCGAGCTACTCCTTTTATTACCTTTCAGCGATTTTAATAGGGACCTCTGGTAATAATTGTAAATAAGTTTTTCGGCAGTCTTTTGAAACTTCTCTTCATGATTTCTCTTCCTCATATTTCTCTGGAAGATAGTTTTCCTCTTGAGTTCTGGGGGGGTTCCGTCAAATATGAAAATGGGCCTTATGTTATAATAGAGTAGTTTGCATATGCGGAGGAAGAAAAAGTACAAGTGGACCTTCTTTATGTTTTCTGTCCTCATGTCTGTGTTCATATGGTCAGAGAAATCCATCCACAGGTCGTTAAAGACGCTCATGTTGTCAAAGGCTCCATTTCGTAGCACCTTGAGGTTGTTTGCATAAGTCAGCTCGTACAACCAGATGCTAACATCGATGGCGATTCGCTTCCCTGTGAATATTTCAGGGTTCACCCGCGCCCCAACAGGGGCTACGATCGACCACAGCCCCTTCACTCCCATCCTTATAAGGGGAAGGGATAATAATAATAATAATAATAACGGGTAGGCAGTGGTTTATAAAAACTGTTAGAAGGGTAAACTGTGCGGCAGATCTTATAGACCCATAGACCACCTCACGTCGCATATACCCCCGTCTGCAATTCCTCCCGATTCGCCGTTTTCCCTACATGGCATCAGAAAAATGCAGACACGAAAAGGGGGGGCCTTCCTGCATCAAACGAAGCACACGGGGTTCGCAAAAAAAAAATTACGCACCATGTGTAGAAAACCGCTAATGGAACCAGAGAGGTTCCCCCATGCCGCGTACCCTATATTTCTTCAAAAAAAAAAAAAAAAAAACGCTCAGATGACACATAACCGCCTCGCGTACCCCCAACCCCTTTGCTTCTTAAAATGACAAAAAAACGAAAACAAAAAAAAAGGAACTTTTAAAAATGACCGAATTTGGGGAGAAGGCATAGTACACTTAATAACGCTTCAAATGAAACATCTGTACCTTATATTTTGCTCCCCTAGGCCATTTAGCATTTCTTTTTTTTTTTTTTTTTTCCATCTACTGTGCATTGTTCCCCTTTGAGATCATTCTCCTCGGTGCGTTTTTTTTTTTTTTTTTTTTTTTTTCCTCCCGCAGAGCATAATAAATAACCTGGCCAAACATGAGGAACCAAAAAGGGTGGTAGAATAAATTTGCGTTACTTTCACATGCAGCTGTGTTAGCAAACCCTTTTTGTTTTTTTTTTTTTTTTTTGTTCTCCCATCTTTAATCTCAACAAAGGGAGAGTTGCACGAATGTATTATATGTGTACTGCTTGAATGTACGCCCTTGCACGCTTGCCCCACATGTTGTGGTACGTCCTTTTATAGAGTTCCGCGCAAGCGTAGAGACCATGTAGGCGTTAAGGGGGGTACTTTTCTTCTTTCTTTTGACCCTTCCCTGTGTGTTTATGAAGCGCCTGCACAACTGTTCTGAGTTGACGGCTCGCTGTTTTGACCTGTCCGTACACACGGGGGGATAGAACGTGCACATTCGCACAAAAGCAAATGCTTACACGTGCGTGTATATGTGTATTCCACATTTGCCCCATTTCCGCGCAGAGCTTGCCCTGCCATTGCCACTGCCCATCATCTTAAACTGCACAAATGGTGTTCACTTCAAATCCTCTTGAATGCCCCCTCCACTTTATCCTTCTGACGAATTATACTTTTTAGAAAAATGAGTTCTACAACGTAATGTGTGTTTAATCCATTTGCGTTGCGTCACCAGTGGCATCCCTACCACCACCCCTCAATATGTACCCACCAACCGTACGCCATTCAAAAAAAAAAATGAAGAAAAGGGAAATAAAAAAAATCTGCTTCCTATACCTACAAATCATTGTCTTCTACTCATTTATGGTTAGCTCCATGAGACGTGGAAAACATCACAGCCAAAAAAAAAGCGAGTTGAAAATTATAAAAAGTGTAAGCCCCTTTGGTGAAAAAAAAATAAAGAGAGTTAAATGTCATTCGTTGCTTTACTTAAAAAATTGCGAGCTAAGAAATACCAAGTGGAGGAACAGCTACCTGGGGGACATACTTGAACATATGTCTGGAGGCCAGCCCCTGGGAAATTCAAACATTGAGCAGTACCACCTAACGCCAAAGCTGAGAAAAACCGTGGAGTTCTTTCAAGCGCTTCCGAATGACCCCTATCGCAAGTGAGAAAAAGGAGCGAAAGAGGACAATGCCACTTGTGGACGCGCACATGTGCATATATATATATGTGCATGCATATGCCACGGAATTACTTTACAGGTGTGCTTGGCGGTTTATTCAACCCTACAAGCTGCACTTTCACACGAATACGCACGTACACGTTGTGTGTACGTTCACTGCTCTATTAGTAGCACCCCAAACCGCAACCATTTTTCACCTTAACAAAAAAAAAAAATGTATTTATATATATATATTTTTTTTTAGAAGCCAAGAAGTAATACTGCTGGGGAAGAAGTGCCCTCCCATGCCTGAAGAATTAAAAAACAGACAAAACCAAGTGTTGGTAAGACAGCCAAAATACGCAGCAACGCGTTGCTAATATTTGTGTATACCCACACACAAATGTACATCCCTATTCGCGCACTCACCAACTCGCACCCTCTCCCTGTTGCAGGGGTGCCAGTCAACTGTGTACATTCACCCCACGGTAGAGGACCGTGAGGGGGAGAAGATCATTACATGGTTAGGGGATTCAGGTAAGACGCAGTTGCGCGCGGAGGATGACTGCACAGTGCTGTACTCTGCTGTGTCGTGCGTGTTGCATTTTTACCCTGCCTCCCCCCCCCCCACGAGCACATACACATTGCTTCAATTTTTGCCCACTTTGCCGCCCTACAGACGGACTGCTGACCAAAGGAATTGTGTACATCTTAGTGGACGGCCTGAGTGGTTACACGCCTGAGCAAATAGTACGCGTAAACCCAAACTTCATTACGTTGACCGGCATCTCGGAATTTCTCACCATGAGCAGAATAAATGGCTACTTAAACATCATGAACAAGATGAAGGCATTCTCCGCTAACATTATGCAAAACGGTGAGCAATGATTTGTTTTTCGCAAAAAAAGTGTTCAAACTGTTCTACATAGCCGTTGTGTCTCTCCCGCCCTCATTAGAAGAAGTATACCATTGGCCGCTCACACCTTGTATTGCTTTAATGGTGAAATAGCCCAATGTTTTCAGCCCCAGGGAAACCTTCAAAATGTGAATCACACAACAGGTGTGTATATTTGCGTACGTACAAGTGTCGCTTCAATCTGTTCCCGTTTTTTCAAATGTGTAAAGCGGCGAATTTCCAGAATTGAGGAAAAAATAAATAAATAAAATAAGGAAACAAATTGTGACATAATCTTACACATTCACCCCACCCCCTGTTCTTGCATTTTAATTTTTTTTTTTTTTTTTTTTTTTTTTTTTATGAACAGGTCAGGTAAAAATAGCTCTTTTAACCAGCTAGCTATTCCCACTGCTACGCTTTTGGGTAATTTCGCCTTGTAATATAGGAGCCGAAAACAACATTGGAAAAATTTCCAAGTGTGAAATTGTGAATACCTCCAACTGCTAACCGTACAGATGGGTAAATTTAAACCTTGTGTTTCATTTTTTTGGGTAATATATTCTACTCTTTTGTGTTAAAAAAAGAACAAATATGAATTAAAAAAAAAAAAAAAAATCATACATAGCTGTGTGTTAATTTTGAGGAAAAAAAAAAAAAAAAAAAAAAAAAAAAAAAATGTACATGTCGCATGTTCGTGCGCATGTGTACACTCACACATGTGTACATAAACTCAACTGCAGTTTTTTCAGAAGGTACACTTTTGACTTGCGATGAGGTAATAAATGATATACGTACCTTTTACCGAAATTGTGATGTTGCAGACTTTTTTTTTGTTTTTTTCGCCCAACCCCACAAAAAAGGGGGAAAAAAAAAAAAAAAACGTTGTAAAAAGGTAAATATTGGCATTATATCACTATTTGCAATTTTTAAGTGAAAACACAACTGGGGCTTATCGAACAAAAAAAAAAAAAAAAAAAAAAAAAAACACTCAGTGAATGCATTTCTCCGCTACTGCGCACATGTATACATGAACACATACTTATACATACTGACATAACCACATATGTGCCTGCGTGCAGACGTACCCCTTCATGCATAATGTTGTACACATGAGCAACTGTATGGTATAAATCCCCGCCCCTTTCCCCTTTTACGCACGAGTTATGTTTCTGGAAAAAGTTCAACTGATAATGCAACTCCAGAGGAACACAAAAGGAGGACAGGCATTTAAATACTCGTGATTTGTGTTTTCCCTCAATTTATTTGCTCCCGTCCATTTTTGTGACCTCAACTTTTCAGGTTTGTGTTTTCCCTCTTACGATTTCTTCCCCCGTTTTAAGATTTTGCCGTTCCTGCGTCGATTTTCCCTTCTTGCAACGCTTTCCTTTCGTCTTTACGCATGTACGTTTTTTCCTCTAATTCGATGCTTAATACCCCCTTTTATTTGTTTTAAACCACACACTGTTCATGCAAAATGTGATAGCGAAACATTTGCGAGTAAGACGCCTGCCCCACGCTCACTCTCTACAATCAGCATTTAATGATTTGCACAAATTAAATGTCTACAACCCCATCTGGAGTGTTCGAAATGCAGGCATTATTCACTCCCCCCCTCCCAGTTTATCCCTTTTTTTTATTTCATAATTAAATAGTAAGTCATATGGTAATTAAAAATAACGTAACGCTTATGTAGCCAACAAATTGCCTGAACAAGTCAGTTTTTTTTTTTTTTTTTTTTTTTTTTTTTTTTCTCCGTTTTGTCCGTAGTTGCCATTACGGAGAAGAGAAGACTTTGCTAAATTTTTCCCAAAATTGCCCCACGGAGACCGCGTAAACAAGCGGCCTTTCCATGTGAACAATTTTGCGTTTTGTTTTTTTCCCGGTTTTACTCTTTTCATTTTTGGTTAATTTTTACTCTTCGTAGATGTTTGCACGTTTATGCCGCCCATTCCTGTGATATAAAACACCGGCTTGAGGCGCACTTTTCTCTTTTTCCCCTCCCCATGATGAAAAGCGAACCGTAGCTCGGACAGGTGTTAAGTAGACACGTTCCTCAGAAGGAAACCTGCTCCGGCTGTTTCTGTTTTTTTTTTGTTGTTCTTTTTTTTTTTTTTTTTTTGTGTACCTGGGTTCAGCCTGCGTATTCGACGGGTGCAGAAAAGGGGGAAAAGGCACGCACACGGATATGTACCCATATATACATGAAGCCTACAAGAGTATAAGCGTTATAAGCGTATATGTGCACATGTATATATAAACGTACATAAACACTCGTAGCCCTCGCGCCTCCAATCCGCCGCGAAGCCGCCACGCCCCCCCAAAGTAAGGAAGAGAATAATGACTAAACACACCTACATGGAGCACAGAAAAATGGCGGAACCGATCGGCAGCATCCTGGTGGATGAAACGGAGAAGCTCGTAGACACATATCGCTTCGACAGCGTTTTCAGCGATGATCCCAAGAAGTCAAAGTCAAGTCAAAAGAAAGATGGAAAGCACGGAATGGCTTTCCACAAATCGCTAGCTGTGGTTAACGTAGCCGCAGGGTTGGATGGATGTGATGACCAGTTACTACCCGCAAGTTTCAGAGCTTTGGAAGCAGACTTGAATTTACATCCTTCCTTATTAGGGTATATCACCCTGGCGCAAACATTAATGTTAAGTCTATTCAGCCCCATCTGGGGATTCCTCTCCGATAAGTATTCACGAAAGTGGATGCTCGTGTTTGGTACAGCCCTCTGGGGACTCGCAACGATATTGCTAGCCAACATAAATGACTTCGCACACATTATATTTTTTAGAGCAATAAATGGGTTGGCCTTAGGTAGTATAGGTCCCATCTCACAGAGTATACTTGCAGATGCAGCGAAGAATGAATCGCTTGGGTTATCATTCGGATTGGTGCAGTTGTCTTCCAGTGTTGGCAGATTAATCGGAGGGGTGGTAACGACGACAGTGGCGTTAAAATACTTTGGAGGTATTAGAGGATGGAGATTGTGTTTCATGATTGTAGGAGTGTTAAGCATTTTGCTGAGTATCATAGTGGCCCTCTTTGTAGACGACGCTCCAAGACAGGTTCGAAAAAAGAAGAAGATGGAATACCTAGATGGGGACGGCATAGATGAAGGATCCAACAATGTTAGAATAGTGACACAATACACCCAGTCATACTTGTTATACCAGAACATTGTAGAGTTACTTCGAGACAGCTTGTCGAAAAAAAGTATCATTATCATTTTGTTGGAGGGATTCACAGGAACTATTCCTTGGCTAGCTCTAAGTTTCAACACTATGTTTTTTCAATATTGCGGATTACGTGATTTACAAGCAGCTATAATAACCGGGTTTTTACTTATCGGTTCTGCATTAGGTGGAGTTATAGGTGGCCACTTTGGAGACATCATGCATGACATATCAAACAAGCATGGAAGACCATTCCTTGGTCAGCTAGCTATGTTTGGGAGAGTACCTCTTGTCATTTTAACATATATGGTAATTCCACAAAGAAAGGAAAGTTTCGAATTGTTTGCCCTTTCTTGTTTTTTCTTGGGATTATCTTCCATTGCGGGTGTTGCAGTAAACAGGCCAATTGTATCGGATATCATTAGGCCAGATTATAGAGGCACCGTCTTTTCCCTAACGATAGCTATAGAGGGAGTGGGAGCTTCGCTCATTGGAGCCCCTCTTTTCGGTTATCTGGCTGAAAAGGTCTTTAATTACCAGAACAACAATTTACTGATTGCAGACATGCCAGAGGAATTGCGAAGGAACAATGCGGAAGCCCTTTCCAAAACGCTGCTCTACTTGACCCTGATCCCCTGGCTGCTCTCCTTCGTTTTTTATAGCCTGCTGCATTTTACCTATGGTAAGGAGTACAAGAAGATGAACGAGATCATTGAGAACGAGTACAAGTATGACGACGAGGACGAGGAGACCGTTGCAGAGAAGGCACACATGTAGGGGGCCAGCGGAGGACAAGCGGCAAAGCAGCGCCCAAGTGATGCCACCGCGTCCACTATGTTTGAATTTTTTTCCCTTTTTTTTTTGTACTATACACACCAGCATTATTCTTTTTTTTTTTTTTTTTTTCTTTTTTCCCGTTCTTCCACCTTTCAACTACATTGCAACTACATTGCAACCATCTTGCATATATTTTTCAATTCGCCATTGTTTTTGTTACACCTCATTTGGGGGCCTCCCCTACGTGGACCAAATTCCCCGTTTGTTAATTCATTTCTCGCTGCGCCTTATTTATTTTTTTTTTTTTTACCTCGTTTACGTTCTCCGCTTATGACATTATGTGCACATGTCGTACGTCGCCACGTGTGTATGCTGTTGTTTGGGTGTGGGAACCGTTTTCGTAGTTCCTACCCGCCTAGCGTGGTTACCATAACGTGGTTCCCCAGACGTGTGAAAACCTATTTTTTTTTTTTTATGGAAAGTTTTTATCAATCTGTTTTTCAAGACAATCATGCAGCGCAGCCATCGTTAGCTTGTGGGAAGTTACCCATTTGGTTATCTCGAATAGGGTAAAAATAAAATTAAAGTTTTTCCCTTTGGTGTAGTACTTACTACTGAGGCTGGAATACCGCTTGGTTACGTCATCGCACGGGTTCTCACGTTTCCCGTGTAGCGTTTTTAAGGTGAATGGGTCCCGTTGGGCGTTTCTTCCAAAAATGGAAGTACATTATGTTGTGACGGGGGGACACTTTGCCCTACGGAATATCACGGACCTATAACTGTCACATGGAAGAAAAAAAAAATAAATTCCTCAAAAGTTCCATAATAGATGTATAAAAAAAAGCTCTAACTGTGGAGCAATTTCTGTTGTGCTTTTTTTTTTTTTTTTTTTTTTTTTGTCCTCATTTTTGGAGAGTCCATGTTGTAATTTTGGCCGCCCTCACGAGTAATTCGACTTAGTTTTGACCGACAGTAGGCCCCCCCCTCCGTACCTGTGCATGTCTCTTAGACGGAGGCATATATATAAGCGTGCTCTACCCACGGATGGCACGTCCAGCTGCATGTTAAAGCGGACCCCACATGGATCTACCCCTTGTGTTTCCCACTTCTTCCCTTTCCTACATTTCGAACATAAAAAGGTGTGTAGCTGCGACATGAGTCTGCTGTGCGACCCCAACACGCTTCACCTCTTTGTAGAGGATGACCTTGGATCTTTCTTCCACAATTTGGAGAAGGTGAGGCGAGAAACAGGGCGTCCGGGCGTGCATACCACGCCTGCGTACCCCATGTGCATGTCCTCATTACAGTGTTCACACTTTTCTGCTATTCGCTCCCTTCCCCCCTCCACAGGAGCAGAAATCCACCAGCTACACTGTCATACTAACGGATCGGGGCACGTTTCTAAATGAACAACCGACTCTCTTGGCTACTTTGAAATTCTTCCTACATGACCCGAGGGAAAATTCAAAAGGGAATTTGTCCCCCCCAAAGCATCTCTACACTCCTCTACAGGGGAAATTACAAAAATGCCAACATAGAATCAACAGTCCTATTTTTAATGTAGAGGGGAAGAAATGGAAAAATCGGTTTGTCTTTCCCTGTAGCGATGGTGAGGGCCCCCTTAGTGAGAATCTTACCCATTCTTCCATCAAAAAGAGTACTAATCAGGATGAGGAGAAAAATTATGAACGGGTCAGGCGGAAAATAAGAAGTGTTAATAAATCCGCACATCAGGAACTTCTTTGCAAAGCCCAGCAGGACAGACAACTCCTTGCAGACAATGACTCAGGAGAGATGAAAGAAATTTTTGCAAAATATGAACAGTCCCTCGTTGGGGAATTTATCCCTACCCCTCACCTCTTTGCACACCAAATTAAAAATGTCCTAGTGATCATTTCGAATATACAAAAGTGGGATGACAAGGTGGAGGTTGCTCACCAGTTAATTGACCTTGTTGATAGAAAGGTCACTTTGAAACAAGCACAGATTATTTGTTTTGCCAATGAGCATATCCTAGAAAGCTTTTATCACGTGTGTCGGGTCCTGTGCAAAGGTACACAGTGGAGGCTGCCTGAACGGGGTTACCTTCATGAGGGAGAATTAAAACCACCTTTCGTGTGAGTGAAATGTAGGTAAACATAAACCCCCGCTTTTATATGTGTTAACTTTTCTTACACACACTCTACCTTGCAGGGCTGAAGGTGCATCTGTTTCCGGTCAGCGGTCGCGCCCTCGTTGAAGTGGTGGGAGACGCCGCGGGATCGTTCCTAGGTTGGCATAGGGGAGAACAGACCGACGATGCGGTTAAAGTTGATCGTCATGATGAGGCGGTTCACACTGATCACCAAAATGTCATCTCTACCTACCAGTACAAGTCCAGTTGTGCTAATAGTGTAACGCATGTCTGTAGGGGACTCCTAACATCGTTGAGGGAGGAAGACTGCAAGGGGATCTTTACCCAGGCATTAAAACTAGCTATGCTAAATGACCCCAAATTGTTTGCCAACATAAACAGCACCGACTTGAACCAGTTTAAGAAAAGGATAAAATATTTTCTCCACCGATTGTTGATTAATAGTTGCAAGATACATAGAAAGGGAAAAAGGAACAAAAAAATTATGAACATGTTCAGGTTTGGAAATACCATTGGAAATGCAATAAAAAATGCAAAGGGAAATCCCCTAAACGGCGTCTTCACGAATGAGGAAATATTTCTCTGTTATGGAATTTATTACGAACTAAGGATGCTGTACGAGGTAGATGCAGTGGACCTTATCTTCCTCACTGAGGTGAAAGAAATAATGATGAAGTACAAAATGAAATATAAATTAAGCAATAATTATTTGAACTACTACACACATGAGATTATTCATCATCTTAGGAAGGGACACCAATCCGGGACGGATAGCATTTTATTAGTTCACCTGACTGGAATAGGAGAGGTGCACCCCGATGTGATGATTAGCGTGCCGCTATGCGTCGTTTGTAGAATTCTTTGTCCCATGGTATGCTTCCCCCCGCGAAGTATACACTCATCACTGAAGGGGACTGAACCTACAAACAGGTGGGAACCATTCTTGCATATCGGTCATGTGGGAAACAAATCGGAAGCCATTCGAGTAATTTACGTTAGCTGCATGAGTAGAGAGAACATTTGCATCAGGAATGTAACTCCATGTGTTGATGTCGTAGTGTTTGTGAAAATATTAAGAGAGTTAAATTTTTACATTAGCCTGACGAGACAAGGGGTGAGCACTACGTACCCAGAGGACGACCTCTCACCGAAGGAAATCTTTCTACATATAAAAGGAAACATACAAAGGAGTGTTTTTTTATTTAAACGGTTTATTTACCAAAGGGGAATCACCCTCCATGTGTACAACTGTGGAACGGTGTGTCGCTTCATTTTGCCCCTTCTTTGCCTCTACATCTGCAAACAAAATTTGAAGGCGAAAAAGACAAAAAAACGGGTTCTAAAATGGATTCTATTGAAAGGAAGCAAACAAATGGAAACGACTAGAATTATCAGCCCCCTTGTGCAAGTCTTACGTCAAGCGTTCAAATGTGTAAATATAGAGTACACGAAGAAGGAAAATTATTTGCCCATATGTATTAGTGTGAAGGAAGGAGCCAACCTTGAGGAGAAACTCTTCTGCACGGAATACGTTCAAATTGATAATTACCACTCGAGTCAGTTTGTCTCGTCGATGCTGCTGCTGTCCGCATTCTCGCAGACGAACACGTGCATCGGGTTGAGCTTCAAGAGGGTTGGAGGTGCACAATGCGGAGGAAGCATAAGTCTATGTGATGGAAGAGAGGAAAGCCCTAGGCATAAAGCAGCGAAGCGAAAAGTTCCTTCCTCTCGTTCCACAAAAGCAAACACAACGACTGCATATGGTACCCAACGAAGGGAACGCACCATTCATTACGGCATGAATAATTCACCACCTTACGGAACAACCAAAGGAGAAGCCACCACGCAGCAGTTCAGTACTACGTCAAAATCATTTATCGATCTGACCATCCGCGTGATGAAATTATGGGGGGTGAAGGTCGGAATGAAAAACTTCTGCTATGTTCTTAAAAAGGGAAGTAGGTACCCGTCTTATGGGAGAAGGCGAAGCAAACTGACCATCCTCAAAAGTCTTGTTAGCAGGGTTAAGCGGTTCATTTGTGCGGTGAAGGGCGTGAACCGCTGGCGTTTGCTGCCCGCAGGTAGCACCAAACAGCGTGTCACCAAATGTGGGGCAGAAGAGGGGGAATTTGTTAACAGCCAAGTGAGGCTACCTGTAGATGTAAAAGGAGGGGAAGACGACATGTATATCTCTCGGTCAAGTAGAACCCCTATTTACACTGCTAACTGCACGCTATCCTATGTAGTGCAAAACGATTTGGGACTGCTCATGTACTTCATCATTGGCTGTCTCATCAGGGGGGAGAACTGCGCCATCGATGTAGGGCTCTGTCTAGACGGGGTCGACTTGTACCCGGATCAGGGCGCCGAGGTCAAGAGAGAAGTGAGTGGACAAGGGGAACCTATCTCGCATGCATCTCATGACTCGGGGGATGGTCGCACCTTACACTCCCCCCCATTGCGCAGAATCAAGGCGATAAGGCACCAGGCGAACATCCCCAACTATACCCTCCTGAATGTGCTCCTCCTCCTTGGGGTAGATATATACATTGAAGAGGAGGGAAGTCATAAAAAAAGCAAAAAATTGTATATGCTTACCTCGAAAAGGATGAGCATTAGACAAGAGTGGATAAAGGGGCTTCTTCTCCGGGGGGGTGCAACTTCGAAACAGAGAAATAAGGACCCAGGGGTGGGTAGAGTGAAGCAAGACAAGTGGGAGATCTTCCAGAATGTGCACTTGAAAATGAAGCTGTATTCAAATAAAATGCTCCTCAAAGTGATAGTAGATGTTGAAAATTTCTCGGACGATTTTTTTTCCCTAAGTGTCCTGTTTTGTTACTACCTCCTAGTGCACCCAACAGAATTCTTTTCCTTTAAGATAAAAAACGTGCGAAATCAAAACATAAAGGAGTCTGTTCGTGTGTATAATTGTGTAATCATATTAAAATTGTTTTTTCAAAATGTCCTCTCCATTTTCTGTGATAAGAATTGTGTGTATATCGGTCGCATGAGACACCCCGTAGAGAACTGCCTGTTCTATAGGATGACAAAAAAAGGGGAATTGCCCTCCCCAGGGGAGAGTCCTTCTTCGGCAGCTTCACCAACTGCTGCTCAGATTGAAAACAACTCCATGTATGTAACGAGCGACAACGGGGGGGAGGTGTACCTATATGTAGACACACAAAGGGATCATCGAATCATTTTCATGGTTACCATTTTGGCTCTCCTCGGGGGAAACGTTTTGATTGACAACACTGGCGAGGTAGAAAAGAGCTTCCCGCACTTTTTCCATTACGCACATCGGTACTTAGGCTTAAAAGTAAATTACACAACTTGTGGGGAGCTCAACTTTTGCAACTTTACCAAGCTGTGCAGATACGAATTGGGGGGAAGAGGCACTGCGTCACGCTTAGAAGAGGCACTCGTAGAGGAGCCCCCTTTAGAGAATAGATGCCCCTCCGAAGTGTCCGTAACGTGGAGCGATTCCTCAACAAGCACTAACATTCATCATGGATCTACTAAGGCGAAGAATCCACCACATGGGAGCCAAGTTAAGTGCATACAGAATCATCAACAAAGGGGAGCCAATAATATGGCTATTCAAATGGGAGAAGCAGAAAAGGGGGAAAACTTCCACCTCAATGTTCAGATCAAGCCTATGTTAAAAGAAAGCAGAGGAGGAGACGAAACGAAATTTACTACACATGGTCAGGTGGAAGATTCTCCATCTAGCGGATACGGCTCCACAAATTCGAGCTCGCACGTGAAGAAAAAATACCTCTGTGAGGAGGAGGACAGTGTGGGTTCACCCATGGAAGGAATAACCTTTTCTGAAAGGAGTACAGTGGAAGGTGAGGAAGATGCGAAAGGGGATAAGTCAAAAGTAACTGGTGAGTATGAGGGTAGCAGGGGTGGAGGTACTCCTGTAGGTGATGGGGGAGTCTCCATCGCTACTAAACAAAACGAATCGAAATGCCAAGGGCGCCAAAAAGGGGAACAAAACATGTTAACCCCCCCTGGGGAGAAACAGCCCCTCAAAGACACCTGTCGAGAGACATGTGATGAACGTGTTACCCATGGAAGAAGGGCGGGAGCTGTTCTTCCACCGGATCCGAACTACTGCAGAGAATACCAATACGAGGAACTTCTGCACGGAAACGACGCTGACATCCTTCACCTAATAAACCAAGTGAACAATCTCAACATCAGTATCATATGCGGGATTAGAAATGTGGGGAAAAGCTACCTTAGCAAAAGGATAAAAAATTGCAGCCTTGTAATTGACCTGGACGAATATATCCTTCACGGGCCGATACGCTTTGATCGACTTACCATCGGTGACTTCCGCTACTACGAGTATATCACCTTCGTTTCTATGCTGTATGTGGCGTACTTAAGTTTTGCGGGGGAAAATTGTCACCATGATATTGGAGAAATGAATGGAGAAGAAGCCCAACCCATGTTCTGTGAAAATCCCTTTTTGACCCTTCGAGAGGATGTACGCTTTTATAACAACAAGGTGAATCACCTTTATCACACCATGAAGGAAAAACATTTCCTCAAAGAAAACCAAGTGCCTGTACAAAGCATTACAATTGTCCTTGGTGGAGGGATCGTAGAATTCGAAAGGTCTAGACATGTGATGAGTAGAGTAAAGAATCTCCTTCTGATTAAAAGACCCCCAAGGGAAATTTATCATATGTGTATTAACGACAAGGTAAAACCTCCATTAAGTGGTAACCTGGAAGAAATAATTAACAGAAGAACCATCCTCTTTGCTAATTTAAATGCCTTTCACTTTTCCATTCCTCCGGAAGAGGACATAGACAGGTGCTTAGCGAATGCAGGCAAGTCCAGGAATGAACTGATTGTTAGCAGCTTTTTAAACTTTTTCAATTACAAATTTTTTGTGAAGCGCCCAATGAAGCATACCTACTCTCAGGTTGCCTCATCGGGTGAGACCATACTCTCCTTGCGTCTAACACAATTTTATTCATTCGACTATGCGTCCTTGGAAGGCACCTACGAGGTGGTTGAACTTGTCATGGATTGCTGGCCAAACGGTAGTGAACACAGTGGGGAAAATGTGCACAGTGGGGAGACAGAGCACAAGACGAATTTGCTCGAGCTAGCCATTTTCACCATTCGATCATACACAGACAAACCGATCTGTGTTAAATTCCCCAAGTGGCTTTTAGACCCCAATTTTTGTGAACCCACAAATGAGAGATCCCCTGGAGGACAAAAAAAAATTTCCTACAGGTACACCCCGACCGACTTGTACAAATACAAAATTAACATCTTCGACGTGGATATTAATTTTTTTAAAAAGGTTAAAAACTTCATGCCGCGGAAGAGAGAAAACATTTTCCTTATCATCTCGAGTTACCGGGAGAGGGTCCACAAAGGGAGAGTAACAACAGACTTGTATAAATTAGAAAAGTCCCACGCTGACTTGATATGGCTAACCTTTGCGCGGGCGACCCAGCCAGATCGGGAGACTCTCCATGTGGAGATAACTCGCCACTGTGAGAAGAGGCTGGGAAGTCCTCCAATTTCTCACGTTAGAGGTATTATTAGGAGAGCGCCATGTCACAATGTTCCACCTGACCAAGTCGCTACTGAACAACGTTACGAGATTTCGGCTTACACATGCGAGATGAATGATCCGTTGGTCTTTCTGTGTAACGACGTTTCTCACGTGGGATGTGTGCAGCCGGGGTTGGCAACCCAGGAGGAGACAAGACGGAGACCCGCCCACCCCGAGAGCTACATGCACAGCTTCTATCACCAACGGGTGAAGACCATCATTTCGTGTGTCCCTCGGTGAGTGGACGGCGCACTTCCGTTTCGTGCATCACTCGCGATTTTGCTAAGCACGGCTTTTTTGTGCTCCTGTCCGTTGTTTTGGCTTCTCCTACGGAGTGTGCACACGTACATATACACGTATATACACATATGTATACATATGTATATGAATTTTTTTTGTTCCTTTTTTGAGGAACGCCTCCTCTTTGGACAAACAAAAGGTGTTGTTTTTTTAATTGTGAGTTCACTGCGTGTTATTGTACATTTAAAAAAAAAAAAAAAAAGGGGTAAACTAAATAACACAGAGCATACGCGCGTGCGTACACATTCGAAAATTAAACACGGCGCAGTGTGAAGGGCATGTGAGTGTTAAAGGCAGAAGAGCGAATAACCCAACGAGCGGTACTCGTGGGCAAACAAAACAATGGCGCGTAGGAGAGCATGCTCTCTCACATGGAGAAACACACACACACGCGCGCACAAATAGGCACCTCTTCTGCAGCTTCTTTCACTTGGCCCCCATTCGTTTCTCATTGCCTCAAAAACAAATGAAAGAGCTCTCCATAATTCAGGTCGTTAAAATTGGCAAATATATTGGAGAGGTACAACTTTTCCTGCCCCACTTTTTGCAGCGCGTCGTGGTTTTCCTTGAGCGAAGTGAACAGGAAGTCGAAGAAGTTTCCGTTGCTGTTGCTATTCCCGTTGCCGCTACTATTTCCGTTGCCACTGCTTGCTGCGGGGGTTTCCTGAATGGACGTGCCCGTCCCAGTGTCCCCTGCAGCCGTTTCGGTGGAAGTGGCGTGAATGGAAGGAGGCGAGTCAGAGCCCTGTGCCTCCCCCGCCCTTCCGAGCAACAAGGCCCTGTTCACATCCAATATGTCCTCGTCATTATCCAAAATGGAAAAATCTTTCAAGTTCCTCTTGGCATATTTGTTCAATACTTTTAAACTCGTCCTCAAAATATTTTTGCAGTCGTAAATATTGAACTCCTTAAAAAGATTCACAAGTAATTTTAAATCGTTCGGTTGAAAATAAATTCCTTTCCCTGTCATTATTTGAAACAGGGTATCGAAAAACTTCACATAAAAATTGAGGTCCCTTTCCTGTTCAATACACTTCATGTGGAACCAGAAATTCATCCCAAAGTCCTTTAGCTTCCATTTGGTTTGTACAATTCCTATAGCCTTCAATGTGTTTATAAGGAAAGCTTTTATTTCAAATTTAGTGGATAAGATTCTTCTTTTTTTTTTTCCACTGAGGGTTTTACTTGCTTCCTTCTTCATTATTAAGTCAAGTAGCTGTCCGTCCTCCTTTTCCTTGTTCACCGTTGCGTGTGGCTTGTACATGCCACTCCTCAGGCAGCACGCTGAGGATAGTCTTCTCCAATCATTGTTCCCTCCTTGCGATTTATTTTCAAAAGGACTAATCCAGTTGTTCATTTGTGTGCAGCCAATTAAATGCCTCCTCTGTACCATAGGGTTTAGCACTTTGCCATGTTCTTCATTTTCTTTTTTATATGGCCCCGTTAAACCTCTATGTCTGCTGGACAGGTTCTTCACGACGGCCATCCCGCTACACCCGTTGCATCCGCCGCACCCGCCGCAACTTACGTAGCTGCTGTCGCTTGGGGGTTTCATCGCCCCTCCCCTTTTGCATGTGTGCATGGGGAAGTCCCTACTGAGGATTCCACTAAAGGGTCCACTAAAGGGTCCGCTAAAAGGTGCGCTAAACGGTACATTCACGTTAACATTTCCGCTGAAGCTGCCTCTCCTCGTGTCGCCTCGAATCGGCACTGGGCTGCATGGGACGCGGGCGGCACTTGGACCCACGGCCACCCCCTGAACGTGCGGACCGATGTCCCTATCCAAACTCATGCCCATAATACTGAGATTTCTGCCCACGCAGTGGGGGCCTTCCCTAAACGAATCCACCACCGCATGGCCACCACCAAAGCAGCTTCTACTCAGAGTCCTGCTCGAATTCAATCTCACATTCGCGTTCTCCACGCTGCTCTTCACATGGGGATGTGTCATCCCTGCCACTTTCACATCGCCCCCATTTACACTCGTTGGTTTCTTTTTATCCTCTACTTTGGGGTTGCAATTTAGGTTCCCTTCAAGCGGATGCGCTGCATGCATCGGGTGTGTACCATGCAACAGTGGCATTGGCTGCACGGCCAACATGGGGGGCGCTTCCGCCGGGTCACTCAACACATCTGTGCTATTCCTCAGTGTGTTCATATTTACACGCAGGTGGAACATGCCGCTGTTGTGGTTATTGAGACTTTTCAAATTTTCCATGTGATTAATGTTTCGCAAATTATTATCTACTCCGTTCAAGGCCAAGGTGTGTGTTGAAGCCGCCTTGTTGCCTCTCCAGCTACCTGCACTTCTCACACTGTTTGCTTTTCTCACGCTGATGGCGCTCCTCACGGTTTCTTCTCCATTTCGGGTCATTTCCTGATTTATCACTCCGTTTATGCTTCTACCACTACTCACATTTCCTACCAACCTTTCCACATCAGCTGCTCCTCTAATTATTTTGACATTACTCCCCATGGAGGGGCTTCCCCCTCTGCTGCCTTCCTTTCCCACTCCCCCATGTGCACACCGGCTGCCATTATTCTTCAAGTGCAAAAGGTTAAGGCTATTTTTATTTCCACTCTTATGCATACAATTGATAAGGTTGCCATTTCCTCGAAGGGTCATCCTCGTATAATCCCCCTCGACTCCAAAATTTTTGTGTCCTCCGACTGTTGTACCCATACTAAGCCCGTTAAACATATGGGGGGCATTATTTCTACTGCTCACAGAGTTGAATTGATTGGAGATGTATGAAGGGTAAACATGTGAGCGTAAAGGAGTGGTGCTTTCATTTGGCAACTCGGCCCCGTGTGTATTCTGCTTCTGTGTGTGATTATTGCTTTCGTTTTCTTTTCCACTTAGCCCAACTGAATAATCGTGCAGCGTCCCATTCGTCTGGTGGGTACTGCTGCCACTCGAGGAGGTCTTATTAACAGAGGATAAATTATCACACTGGTTTTCCTTCCCTTTATTCATTTCATTTTTGCTAATTAAAAAAGGCTCCCTCCCTTTTTTCAGTTTCCCCTGTTCAACGGGGTATAAATCTTTATCGTCACAAAAATTGGGCGCGTCCCTTTTGCACGCACTGGTCGCGGCACTGGCCGTAGCCCAAGCAGTTTTGCCACGGCTACTACTCACGCTGCCATCTCCTGTGCCTCCTCCTTCGCTTCTCCCCCCGGAACTCCGTCCGCTGCTGCTACCGTTACCAACTTTGGTGGACTGTTGATCGTCCAGCGACAAGTCCTGGGAAACACCCCCATACTCTCCCTCCTCTGGAAACCGAAGCGTATCCTTATCGTCTCCCTTCGCCTCGAGGGGCCAAGGACAAGAAACTTCCTCCGTGGTCGTTGAAATCGAATCGGTCATTACCATATCATACTTGCCTTTGTAAAAATCTTTGTTCTCAATCAAGTTACCCTTTCCTGTAATGTCTCCCATTTTTATTAGATACTTGTCCAACTCGTTTTTTTCATTTTCATTATCCTTTTTGTAACAGTCAGTTGTGTCTTCCTTGTATGGGTTATCGTCTACACTTCCTTTGTGTCCTACTGTCATTTTTTTTTTTTTTTTTTTTTTTTTTTTTAATCGGTTCAAACACCATCAATGTGGTGATGGCAAAAGGTGTACGCTCCCGTGTGCACTATTTCTTTTTAAGGCGCCCTAGGGGGACAAGTGTGTCGGCACGCACGAGAGGGCATTAGTGCGTCTCGTACACGCATGCACACATGTATAGGAGCATCATACGTGTGGGGGGTGTTACTCCTTCCCCCCGTCCGTACTTGGGGAAGCGGTACAAGGCAAAAATGGAGCGTCAAATGGGAACAAAAATGTAGAGTGGAAATATTACGAAGCACGATGAACTGCCAATGGACGGGGGAGAGGGCAAGTTGCAAAAAAAAAAAAAAAAAAAAAAAAATTTAATTATCAAGTGAACAAACTGATATGTATACAAACTCCGCTCAGCGCAAGAAAAGGAGAGAGCGTCGTGGGATGGAAGCAAATGGCAGGTGATATACAACGTGCAAGAATGACTAGCCCATGAAACAAAGCAACTGCTCCCAATTAAACACAAAAACAAAGCTGCCACAGACACGTGGTGCCGCTTGTCCCCTTGTTTTTATTTTCTCCTGTCTGGTGCTCACACCCCTCCTCCACATTTTAGGTGAATGCGTCAAGGGGTGTAAAAAAAAAAAAAAGAGCAGGCGCAGAAGTTGTGAACAAAGGAGACGACGCGAAATCCTTCAAACAACACGAAACGGCAAAATAATGCACCTACCAGGTGACAGAATCGCTCTAGTCATAGCATGGCAGCAGTGAGTTACACGCTACACGAGGGTGCACACATAAAATATTGCCCCAGGGCATAATATCATATGTGACCTCGGAGCCTGCCGCACACAAAGGTATACAAACTCACAACAACAGACACGTGAGAGATTATTTTTTTTTACATTAATTCAAAAGTCGAACTTGTTAGCTGCCCATATGGTACACATGCACGGGGAAACTAACGGTTAGAAACAAACAATGGGAGGGGGGAAAATATAAATAAAATAAATAAATGTAACCCCAAGAGAGGGAAAGCAAAATGGGTTGAAGAAGGGGTGATGGTGATGGCAGGGTACACTACGCACCACGGATGCTATCTTCTAATAAAAATACTAATTTGATACAATACATGTAGAAACACGTAGTGTATAACTTATGGATTCAGAACAAAGGGGAAAGCGCTAACATGCATTGGTGCACAAAATGAGGGTGGAGGGTAGAACTCCTGGTGATGGAGTTCCCCTGATGTGGTGGTGTGGGGGACATGAAACAGATCTCCTTTTATATATATTCATTCTTTTTTCTCTCATCAACATGCATAGTTGAGTGATGGCGCCCTGGAGCGAGCACAAGGCATATCTGCGATGTACACGGATGCAAATATACATGCACATGTAGCCACGTAAACGTGATTTATCCTACACGCACGGGAAGGGTGTATGTACCGAACAACCCCCGTTGTAAGCGCGAGCATATATGCAGATTGGCAAATGCAAAAATGAACTTATATATATATACATACTTATGCCCTCACCACGGCGGCAACGGGTGGACATCCCTGCAAAGGTGCATACGGGGCACACTCGCCGCCACGTTAAGCCGCTACACCCGGTTGTGCAGAACGAAGTTGTGGGGGGTAGGTACCTACGCCTACTGGCATTTCACCATAATGTAGGGTTGTATACATATATAAAAAATATATATGCATACGCGGTGGTCCCCACAACTTGTGTCTACGCCCCCCGTGGAACGCGTAAAAAAAAAAAAAAAAAAAAAAAAAATACAAACAAGGCGTACAAATATAGTACGCATAAAACAGGCGTCCACCTACGCAGGATTTCTGCGGAGGGTTCGTAGGCGCGCGGTCTGATACGTAGCGCTACGTATTTATACGTGCTTCTCTGTACAGAGGGCACTTTTTTTTTTTTTTTTTTAATGGCTTTGTTTTTTTTTTTTTAATAAAAATGGTCATACGTTTTTTCGCATTTTTTCTGCTTTTACAAATATTTTGCAGATTTTCAAAATTATAGAAAAATGTAAATGTAAAAAAAGAAGGGCAGTCAATCGCGAAGTTTATAAAATGAGTCATGCGGGAGCGCGGTATGCAAGAGGCTATGTATATATATATATATATATAATATATTATGCGCCTACGCGTATTGTACACTGCGCATATACGTTTGCGGAATTTTTTTTTCTCTCCCCAGGGGGTCTGGCGCACTTAAAAAATGCGTATGATGTTTGGCCGATTTCGCCTCCTGCTCCGCACGGTCGTGCGCACGCATAATGTTTTTTTCCTGAGATGAGCGCTACCCCCAATTTGCGCGCCTTATAATACCAGTACCGGCGTAAAGGGTACGTACGAATATAATATGGTATGCAATGTAATTAATAATTACGTGCATATGTTATGCGCCATATGTTGCGTTGTACAATATAGTACCCATGATATATTATTATACAATATACTATGTTTTGCCAGGGCAACCCCAATAGAAACGAGAATGCCTTTTAGCCCCACTGGCCCCCTGTTTTAACAACCCATAGGCCATGCATAATGTAATTACTCAACGCACGATTTTAAGCGGGTTGGTTAAATCCCTCTGCGCGGTCAAACGCCACGTTTAACTGCGTTACTCCTGTACATGTAAAAAATAAACCGTTACTTATATTATATTTGCAGATCAGCATTCTTTGTACTTATATACCCGAGCAAGCCCAGCGGAATAAAAAAAAATCGACTCGTTGAATAATAAATGACGCCCCCGCACCCCCAAAAAATAGTGCTTCCTTTTTTTTCTTTAAAATACTTTTCTTCCCTTCCACCGCTTGCGCCCCTCCGCCCTTCTGCATGCTGTTTAAATCCATCCGTATAAAAATGATAGCACAGTGTCGTAAGTGAAGGTTTCCCGTTTTTTATAGCATTTCGATGGTGCTTCCTTTTTTAAGAAAAAATTCTCCCCAATGTTTTTGTTTTTCCGCCTCCAATGCCATTGTTGTTATTTTGTCCTTCATATTAAACGAGAGAGGTATCAGGCGGAGGACATGGGAAAAAAAAAAAAAAATAATAAAATAAATGAAATAGAGACCAACTTTCACGTAATATAATTTAAAGTGCCATCTACACAAAAGGATACAAATAAAGGAAAGGAAAACGAACGTAACGGTGGAGGATTTTCCCTTTTTATTGCATAAAAGGGACAAAAAGAAAAAAAAAATAAAATAAATGATCAGTTAGTATACCTTTACACGCTGTGGGGGATTTATCGTGCTGTTTTTTTTTTTTTTTTTTTTCCCGTGTTTAAAGTACGCGCATGATATGTTGGTATGTTCATGTTCTTCTTTGGATGCACATTTGGAGGTTACACGGGGTATACTCTAGTACGCGTAAACGCACCATGTCCCCATTGCCATTTGCCCTTGTCTCAAGTCTTCCAATGCGCACCATCACGTTACAGCTCACGTGTAGGTTTAAAAGGACCCCACCTGAGAACCACGCTTACGTTCGGTGTGCATAATATGTGGGCAAACCCTCCATAGGTATTTATCACACGGGGGGTTGGATGGGTCGATTCGATTCCTTCACTGAAAAATATACACACATGTTGAATTACGATTGAGCACCTAATGGGAAAGCCAGTCAAGCGATCGCTTAAGTAAACACGATTGACGCCTTTTCTTTGATCCCCTTCACCAACCCAAACTCCTCCTTACATTATACACGTTTGTTACAACAACGTTTACATGTTTGACCACCTCGCTTGTACGATTCTCCCCAAAGGCATCACCAAATCGGTACAGCCGTCTTTTAAAAGAAGCGGCAAAAAAAAAAAAAAAAAAAAAATATGTTCAGCTAACTTTTACAGTTGGGGAAATTATTCCCAACAAAGAAAAGGTTATGGAATGCAAATTTGAAGGACACTCTTTTTGGCTTTCCTTCCTTACACATATACAAACGCGAAATATAGTGTGGGGGAAAATTTAAAAAAAAAAAAAAAAATTCAATTCCCCATTTGGGCGTTAAAGCGAGGCACACATAGGGGGAGAAGAGGCCCTGCAAATGAGCCGCGGCGTCTGACATCCGCTCCGCGTGTCCGGCTCACTCCTTCCAGTGGTGGTTGCACTTTACGCATATGTAGAAAAGCGTGCTGGGTTCGTCCGCCGATCGGATTTGCAGGCTGTAGAAGTACGCCTCGTCATGCGTGCACTTGGGGCACACGGCTACGGCGGGGGGAGAGAGAAAAGTAGGTATAAAAAAGTGGGGGCACAATATAAGCACTTGTAAGAAGCACGACACGAATCTGGTACAGAAAAAAACAATATGAACGCTGCGCACGCTCGCTCCTCTAGCCAGTGCCTACCCTGCGTCTTGGACATATTTTTGTTGTTCACGTCAACGGCATCCAGGGGGATGGTTTTGTTAAGGTCCCTGCAGTCGAATTTGTTAAAAATTTTGTTCTTTATTTTGTACTTGAAGTTGCAAGTTTTGCAATAGAAGTACACACCATTTTCGATGTTCACGAGGACGATGTTGTGACAGTTGGGACAGAAGAAAGCCATGGTGGTGATGTAGTGAAGAAAAGAGGGGGGGAGACTTCTCTATTGGGGCTTCTTAAATGAGGGTGATAGTTTTATTGGAGGATCAACTCGGGTCTACTCCCGTTGTGCGGAATTCATGGGGTTGGTGAGTCATTTAAAAAACTGCTCCGTCCGCTCATGCGGGTTGCCTCCCCATCTCTTTGTTATGCGGGACGAGCGCGCGCATTTCAGACTCAGCCACTCGACATCCTAAACAAAAAAAAGGCCTCTGGCGAGGGGGTACCACCTCTCTTTTGTACGGCTTCGAAGAGGAAAACAATTCAAGGAGAAAACACTTGTGTGGCTGGTCTCCTTCAATCATCTTAGGGGCATAAAAGATACTTCCCTCGTCCCACTCTGCTGCGTACCAAAAAGGACAATAAAGGGGGGGAGAAACCATGGCCTCCTTTTTTTTTTTTTTTTTTTTTTTTAATAAAAAATCTGCAATTTTATCTGACTCAGCGTATTTTTTTTTTTTTTTTTTAAATATTCACGGTGCGACTGAGACGTTACCCACAACATTACAGCCCTTACCCCGAAAGGAAATTCCTTTTTTTTTTTTTTTTTTTAAAGTGCTTTCCTATTTTGCAGTATAAAAAAATGAGCACTTTGGAAATGCCCCTCTTCCCTTCCCTACATGCTAAGGTAACTATAGCCTGCTTGAAATACTCTCCTGTGTTTACTGTGGGGCCCATTTGATGCTGTTTTTTTTTTTTTTTTTTTCATCCCCGGTGTTGAGACGTCGTGTTTGGATTCTCCCCCGTTGGGATGGGTGTACACGCATCTGTAGAGAGAGCCCCTGCCCGTCGTTAACCGTTCCACCGTTTTTGGCCACTGTGGGGTTGCTCGTTGGAGTACAAAAAGAGGCCCTCGCCGGTGTGCAGTGTATACCTTTTCCCTGAGATGCCCTCTAGCTTTCACCTAAAACTTTGTACCAGCTGACTCCTAACGCCCCCCTCCCAATGGACCACCTGAAGAATATCTCGCCCATTGACGGGCGGTACAAAAAGTCGTGCAGCGAAATTTCGGCCTTCTTCTCCGAGTACGCGTTGATAAAGCATCGGATCATTGTAGAGGTGAGATGGCTGCTGTTCCTGAATGAGAAGGAGCTCTTCTTCAAGAAGGTGAGTGCCCAGTCGGTAGAGGAGCTAAACCAGATCGAAACAAACATAACGGACAGCGACATAGCACGAGTGAAAGAGATAGAAGAGGAAACGAATCATGATGTAAAAGCAGTAGAATATTTCGTAAAGGAAAAATTGAGTAAATCGGGAAGGGAAGACTTGGTAAAGATAAAAGAATATGTGCACTACTTGTGCACGAGTGAGGACATCAACAATGTAGCTTATGCGATGTGTCTGAAGGTATGTTTACAAGATATAATAATCCCATGCATGGAGAAAATAATGCTCAAATTAAAGGAGCTAGCTGTGGAGTACTCCGATGTGCCCCTTCTATCGAGGACACATGGGCAGCCTGCATCTTCCACCACCTTTGGAAAAGAAATGGCAAATTTTTATTCAAGGATACACCACCACGTAGAGGTCATTAGAGGGGTGAAAATATATGCAAAGTTTAATGGAGCTGTGGGGAATTTTAATGCGCATAAAGTGGTGAGCAAAAATACCGACTGGATAGGTCATATTAAAATATTTTTGCAGAAATATTTTGACTTAACATATGGTTTGTATTGCACACAGATTCAGGATCATGATTATATATGCGAAGTGTGTGATGGTCTGGCTCGAGCAAATGCTACACTCATTGACCTCTGTGTAGATATTTGGTTATACATTTCGAATAACTTATTGAAGCTTAAGTTGAAAGACAAAGAAGTTGGAAGTAGCACCATGCCACATAAAGTTAACCCAATTGATTTTGAAAATGCAGAAGGTAATTTACACGTTGCGAATGCTTTCTTAAAACTGTTTAGTTCGAAATTACCAACGAGCAGATTGCAGAGGGATCTGTCTGACTCCACGGTGTTACGAAATATTGGAAGCTCTCTAGCATATTGTCTCATTGCTTACAAATCTGTGTTAAAGGGACTGAACAAAATGGACCTCGATAGGAGAAAGCTAGAAGAGGAACTTAATGAAAACTGGTCCACTCTCGCAGAACCCATACAGATCATGATGAAACGATTCAACTATGTAGATGCATATGAAGAACTCAAACAATTCACAAGAGGGAAAATTGTGGATAAAGAAATTATGCAAGAATTTATTAAAACTAAATGTAACTTTCTCCCCCAGGATGTCGTGGACCAATTGTTGCAGTTAACTCCAGCGACGTATACTGGGTACGCTGATTATTTGGCCAAGAATGTGGAGCGGCTGTCGGGGCAGCTCGACTGAGCACGCCTCAAAATGGAGGTGCCTCCTCGCTGAAGTGTCGCACCGATGTGACTGTGCAGCAGCTTCTTTCCCCGCACACATGCGCACATACACGATGTCGTAATGCATGAGCTGAGCGATTTTTTTTTTTCTTTTCTTTTTTACGTAGCTGAATTTAGCCAACATTGCCGAGTTTGCATCTCCTTTTTGTGTACCAACGTGTAAACATTTGGACCGTCCCAGGGTCGCTTAAAAAAAAGGGGGGCGTATATACAGCACACTTACGTTGGCGGTGCGTGGCAACCGTTGTCAGGCCACCGTGGTGGCTTCCCTTTTGGGGGGCCCTGCTTTGCAACCCCCCCTGTGCCTTAACACGGAAGGAAAAAGTCATCCCACCAGATAATACATCCTTCAGTTCAGCATGGAAAAAAAAGTAATAATCAAGTACTAATAAAATTCGCTTGCATGTAAGGTATCTTAGCGAAGGGGGAAAAAAAAAAAAAAAAAAAAAAAAAAAAAAAAATGGAAGGGGGAAAAAAAAAAAAAAAAAAAAAAAACAACAAATAGGTTGGTGGGAAAATTGGTATAGCTAGTGGGGAAAAGCCAACGTGGCACCCAAAGGAGCACGCGCGAAGGGCCTCCGTTGAGCGCGGAACCCCTATGCAGTGCCCCTAATTAAGACACATCCAGAGCAAAGCCAATAGGACGGACAGAGTGGCAGAGAAAAACGAACCGAAGGAAGACGCCTCCATCAAAATGCACCTGTCCCCCAATAAATGCCCCTCCTTACAGATGCACTTAATCCCTATGTTATCCATCCGTATGCATATTTGGTCTTCTGCGCACCCCCCGTTGTTCACGGAACAGGACTTTGTGTTATCTCCAATTATTTCGTTCAGCACCATGGTGTCCGTTATTCCTTTCTCTACTCGGTTGTTTCTCAGTGCGCTGTAGTGGGGTACCTTGTCATTTAGGTTGTCTGCAAAGAGAGGGGAGAGAAGCAAAGTGTTGAAATAATCAGTACAGTGGTTCGTTCGGCCCATGGGGGGGGGGGGATGCACACACACATAACGAAATGGAAGAGGGACAAAAAGCCCTCTCCTTTTTATTCACCCTTATATTGCCTCTCCGTCCCACCGCTTTCCGATGGAACGGTCTCCAAAATGTCTACACCGTATTTTTCCTCTCGTCAAAAAAAAAAAAGCTGGTTCCTTACCTAAGTGATATTGTTTGTCGCCATTAGCGGCATCCTCTGGATTCTTCTCGTTTGGGTGGTTATCAGGGGTGCCTTCCTTTGTGTTTTCCCCGTCTGGCGAATCCTTGCTTTCTTCCGCACTGACATCGTCATGTTTATGTTCCGACACTTCCGCATCTGCCTGTGTGCTTTCCAAATTTTTGTTTTCCTCGGTGTTTTTTTCTTCTTTGTGCGCGCTTTCATCCTTATCCCCCGATTCGTTCCCAGATTCCTTTTCTCCTCCTTCTCCGTTTTCTTTATTGTCTTCCTTTTTCCCTTCTTCATCTTCATTTGTCTTACTACCCTCCGTGTGATTGCCTTCACTGCTTAGCGCTTTAATTTCACCTTCTTGAGAAGCTGATTCATCTTCTCCCTTAGGTTGATCTGTATTTGTGGTGTTAGAATTGGAATTTTCATTTGCCTTACCATTTTGTTCTACTTTTTCTGCACTTGTTTCAGACGGGGAACCCCTGTTGATGTTCCCCACTTTGCAGTTGCAACTTGATGGTCGTTGTAATTTCCTTTCTTTTTTCATTACCTGAGACGGGAGGAGATGCGACCTCGCCTACGTGGTCGTTCATTCCATTTTCGCTCAACAATCTGTTGGTCTGTGTCTCTAGGTGAGCGTTTTGTTGTATCGAGAAGGACACCTGGAGGGGACGTTGCGAGTGGTAACTGCAGAGGAGGAAGAGGTGGATAACTAACACTATGCGTGCGATGGCCATCGTGCTGCATATATTATTATAAGGGGGGGAAACTAAGCCTCAAATTGAAGAGGTAAAATTAACGCGGAAACTTAACGTGGCGAAATGAAGGTGCCAAATTAGCAACTTCTCAATCTCAGCCCCTCAAGGGCGCAACAATCCCAAAGGGGTTTGCGTCGCGCTCCTTCACACTCTCCTAGTTCCTGCGAGACTGCACTTATTCTAACGTGTTCTAATTTTGTTCTCAATATGTCGTTGCAATTTTTTTCTCTTAAATCGTTGTCATTCTTTTCCACTACTTTTTTTTTTTTTTTTTTTTTTTTTTTTTTTTTTTTTTTTTTTTTTTTTTTTAAAAAAAAAAAAAAAAAAAAAAAAAGCACATAGGATGTGTTATTTTTTTTTTTTAACACACCTAGAGATGGAAAAGGACATTTTTTTTCAAGTGCACATTCTGAAGAACTGTTACACACTGCTGCTGATCGAACGGGTAGAACAAATCTGACTCGTTCCCCTTGGTGGGATTACTTGTGCACACCTTTGATGTGCACCTAGTTTCACCGCACTCCCCCCCCAAAAAAACAAGAAGAG